ATTATATATATATAAAGAGTATTTACTTACCTATAAGCTTATATATAAGCTTAAATTCGCTATTAATATAGCTTAATATTATACCTAAATAAGTATCTTAAAGCTTAGAAGTCTATATATCTAAAGTTAAGGAAAATCTTTTTAAACTTTTAATATTTTCTAAGATCTCCTTATCTATAATAGATAAAAATCTACTATAAGTAATATTAAGTAAATCCTTAATCTTATACTTATTTAAAATAGGATTAAACCTATAGATATATTAAGTATATATATATATATTTAATACTAAGAATTTACTTACTTATTATAGTAATTTAATAAGTCTTTAAAAGATTTAAAATCTAATATAGAAAAAGATAGATTATTTTCTACTATTAGATTTAAAATCTTTAAAGAAACCTCTTCTTCTATAAATTCTATAATAATACTAGTTTAAGGTCTTTTTCTACTTTTTATAATAGAAAAAGGATTCTCTCTAGGTACTATATCTAGTTCTATAATAAAAAGTTAGTATATATATTATATTAATATTAATATATAAATACTTAATTTTTTTAAGATTTTTTTCTAATTTTTCATTATAAGTAATAATAGGGTAAGAGGTTTTATAATGCTTAGTAAAATTAGAAGTTTAAAAACCTTCTACTTTTACATTCCAGCTTTTATTATACCTATAGTTATATTAGTATTAATATAATAAATTATAGTATATATATATATAAGAATAATAAAACGTTTACTTACATAATACAAGTTATTTTTATTTCTCTTTCCTTATTATAATTAATAAGTAAAAGAGACCTAATAAATAACTCATTTTTAAAGATATAAACCTTACTAACTTCTAATTTATAATCCTCTTTATTATATAAAGAGTCCTTAAATTTATTACTAATAAAGTTAATAGTACTACTAATATTAATAGTAGACTAAATAAGGGGGGGGCTAGAAGCCCTACTAAGTAAATCTATAATAAAAGAATCTATTATAAAAGAATATTTCTTTTATAAGAATATAAATAATACTTTAAAGAGGTTATAGTAAAAGGTATTAATAGTATAGTTATACTTATTAGTATAAAGAGAGAAAGAAAACTAAGACTTTAAAGTAAGGGGGTAACTTAGTTTTATAGTTAGCTAGGAATTCTATTATTTTCTATTAGTTTTTATAATATTACTAATACTTAACTAGTATTAATAATACTAACTAAGTATTAATAATAGCTAACTAAGTATTAATAATAGCTAACTAAGTATTATTAATATTAATAATATAGTATTACTAAGTAGAAGTTTCTAGAAATATTAAAAAGTATATAGAAACTACTAGAATTCTATTAATAATAGCATATTATTAATACTTTATTAGTATTATTAATATTAACTAAGTATTAATAATAGCTAACTAAGTATTATTAATATTAATAATATAGTATTACTAAGTAGAAGTTTCTAGAAAGATAAAGAAATACATAGAAACTACTAGAATTCTATTAATAATAGTATATTACTAATAGATTAGTAATATATAAGTATATACTTACTTATATAATAGCTTTATTATAGCTATAGTTAAAGTTACTATTAATAGTATATTATAGAAGCTTCTAGAAACTTATAGAAAGTAATAATAACTAAAAGAATATTAAAGAAACTAAAAGAATTAATACTATTAATAATAGTTAATAATATATATACTACTATAAGTAATTTAATTATATTTTTTAGAATTCTTTTTAGAATTTTTAGAATAATATAACTATATATTCTATTTATAGAAAAAAAGTTACTATAAATAGTATATTTTATACTAATTAGTATACTACTAATATACTAATACTAAGCTAGTATTTAACTAGTAATACTAATACTAAACTAGTATAAATTTTACCCTACTAGTACTAGACTTACTAATACTAGACTAGACTAATACTAAATACTAGTAGTACTTTTTCCAACCCTGGTCCTGAAGGGGGCCTCCTTTCAGGCCGCAGAGTCTTTTCTTCTGAGGTAATTCGGGCTAGAATGAGTAATGAGGATGGGGCCGGGAGGGTGCGCTGAGAGCTCCGTCTGGCCCGGACGCTGCCCGGGACAAGGCATTAAACTGGGCCCTGGCAAGCAATTTTTTTCATCGGTACCTCTTTTTCACAGCTTTGCTTTTGGCGCGTTGCCTCCTTGCTTTCTAGAAACCTGGGACGAACACGCGAATGATGGGACGCAAAAAGGGCCGAACCACGCAATGTCTGAGGGCCAGAGGCAAGAAAGAACTGGAGCTTCGCACGCGGGAAGTTTTCGTGGCTTGACGTTTTACTCCTTATTTCCATCATGGTCCCCTGGCGAGAAATAAAATACGTGAAATTTTCTTGTTGATGCTGCTGAATGTGTTGTTGCCGGGAGGCTTTGGTGAGGCGGCAGATGGGTACGTATCAAGCAAGCCACTTGGACAAGTTGGACTAAGGTTACAGCTTAGAGGGTATCCGTATCCGTACATGGTACTCATCAGCTTAGCTTAGCTTAGTACACATCAGCGTGCAATGCAGGGCCAACAAGACAACCTTTGGATCCCAATCCCAAATTGAACCCGCCCGCACCGGCCGGCATCCAAATCTCCCGCCCGCGCGCCCTGCCCTGGTTCCCATACTCGTCCTGCTATGATGTGATGGGCGGTGTCAGCTCTGCGTCCCTGAGTGGATGAAAACAGCCCGCCGCGACGTGGACAGGGTGGCTGCGGCGGTCATGCGATTGAAGAGGGCAGCGCATCATCACATCCGCCCAGGCCGCAGATGACATCTGCCGGGCGAGGAAAGGGGGTTGCTCTGCCGGAGGAGACGTTGACTCCTAGATACAACACTCGGATCTACACCTTGGCTTTCTGGCTGTGATGGTGGTGGTTCGTGTTTTGCTGTGGCGCATGGTTGTAAACAATGTGGCTCTCTTTCTTTTCTCCCTGGCGACAACTAAGACATTGCACGCACTGATTGACCGCTCGCCGCCCCCATGATGCGATGCCATGCGCCCATGAAGCGATAAGGCTTATCCAGGGGCCCGAATCGTGCTATTCGCCAGGGCAGGTTGGCGAGCCCCCTCCTGACCTGCGGTGAGGGCCCTGGAAAGGGTTGAGAGTGTCTTAGACACCGAGACATGCGCCCAGCGCCGGCACTTGCGGGTTGGATCAAATGACGGTGACGATGCGGGAAGAGCGCGGGAGGATTGGGTGTGCAGAGACATGTCAGATGAGTCTTGGAAGAGCACGCAAGATAGGACCTCACGCACCGCCGCCGCAAACGCAACCACACACAACAACGGCCGGATGTTCACTCAGCCTGCAATTGCAAGCGCGTGTCCGTGGGGGGGCCGTAAAAAATGATTTTCCCAATGGCCTCAATTTACTGGCGGCGGGCCTCATCATCTCACGTTCCCGTCTATTCCCGCAAAAGAGGGGCCGCCAACACGCAGGTGGAGGGAGGGGCGTTTTACGTTTCACAGGTATCCGTACCTATGTACGAAGCATGCTTGCTGCATCAGGGAAACGAGAAGAGAGTGGGAGAGAGGGGCCCGGTGCCGCACCGGAGGAGGGGCGTGCCGAAACTCGGTGAAGTGGGCAATAGGCCGACTCCTGGGCATCCTGTTACAAACCTCAACTGTCTTTCGACGCGGACGGAGAGTATGGAGTACACCGCTGAAGGCTTCGGCAACCGGCAGCACCGGTCGTTGACGATACTTTTACGCTACCGTACCACCCGTCCAAGTAAGAGAAAAGGTAAGATGGGATCGTCGTGGCGCGGTCCATGGCGCCATGGCCACATCATCAGCCGGACACTTCGGGCCATGCCACCAGCCAGCCCAGCTAGACAGGATGACGACCGGACGAAGCTGCTAAGACGAAGGGCCAAAAAAACACGGGCTGATTATTACAGTCTGACGAAACCTGATCCTTCGATAAAGCTTGTGTCGACGTCTGGTTTGCCCGATAAGCGCCTTGACAGCACGACCAGCACAGCCAAAAGGGGTCGATGGCGCTCTAGAATCCGGAATATTGGGGTTGGCAGTTTGGCAGTGCACACCGAATGCGTCATGTCATCTCAACGCATCCCGTTGGGCGACTCACTGGCGTCTCTGATTTGTTGTTATCTCGTCACTCGGCCCTCAAACAGAACAACTTCACATGCTCACAGCCACAATCTTCCTATTCTTGGCCGCTCCTTGGCTTGCACGCTGATGACCCCGCAAAGCCACACATCATTATCAACGCCAAGGTCAACGACGAGAGAGAGGGTTTGTTGGCGCCGTAGCTGAGCATGCACGCCCGCAACGAGCCATCTTACGCGAAAATTACTCAAGAAGAAGAAGCCCCTCAGCAATCGGGCGATAGCCACACGCTGTTGGACAAACCGTCTCCGATGCAACGACTCGACGCAACGACTCTCGTCCTTTGATGCGAGGCTCAGCTTTCCCCACAAAGTCGCAAGCCGCAGGTGCCGGGCGGAGCGCACTCCGGGAACTAAAGTTGCCAAGCCGCTGACGGCGTCGTCAGGTTGAGAGAACCGCGACCGCTAACGACCGAAGCTGACAAGAATATTCGCAGGCTAGAGGCCCTACGTGTCAACATGATTTCACGAACACGGCGATCTTTTACCTGGGGCGTCTCCTTGGGCAGCTATTTACCTGTTGATTTGATTAAGCTTTAGGTCAGCCCTGGATAAAGCCCGACTAGCCCAGCTCCACCAGTGGTCGCGTCACTTCATGGGAACCCAAGTAAATATTGACGAAATAGAGTTAGGTTCGACCAGGCAACGGGGGCTGATGATCGCCAGCCCAACAGTCGGCGCCCAACTACCGACGAACCCCGGAAACAGCGACTGATGAGGCTTCTGACGATCTAGCATTGTGGAGATGATAAGGCTTGAGTTCAACGAACCCCTCAATTGAAAGACATTGTGCTACCCAAAAGCTTGAGTTACTGCCTTGATTTCGCCTTGCTTCAGACAGGTTCCCTGATCAGGCCCAGGTAAGTGCACCCTTGACGATGTCCTTTAAACTCTCCTGCTCGACCCCCAGCAGATCGTTATCCACCCCGTCCAAGACAGACCTCCCGGCTCCATCCTGGTAAAGCTGGGCGACAAGGAACGCAACATATGCCCCCTTGTAGTCGCCATCCTGCAGCTTGATCCGCCCCTCTCGTCTGGCCTCGTCCGTGCTGACCGTCGCGGTCTCCCATTTCGTGTTTGTCTGTTTCTCAAGCTCGGCAAGGATCTTTCTCTGGGACGTAGTCAGAGCAGCGATGCTAACGTGTCGGTTCTTCGTCTCCTCGGGATGCTTGAAGACAGCTGCGATGGGCTTTCCGATTTTGGCGATGCTCATCGCAGTGAAGGGTTCATTGCCTGAGTCGTAGATGGTCGCCGAGTGTTGCTTTAGATCAAAACCAAAGTCTGGGAACAGCGCCAGTGACTTAGCAACAGGTTAGCAACAAGATCCGCTCGAAGTTTGCTGTTTGGTTGGATGGGGACGACAGGAACAGCAGAGACGACGAGACACGAGAGGAGCAACAGAGAAGATAGGGACAACCAAGACGATAAGGATAACCAAGACGATAAGGATAACACGGTGCTCACCCTATCAAGCAAAGGACCATTGAAGAACGATGTCCAGGTGAAGTTGTCATTCTTCTCTGCCTTCTCCTTCAAAAGGTTCAAAGCCTGCGCCTTCTTCCCCAGAATGGCGCGGTACTCGGGAACATCATTAGGCCCTTTCGGAACACCGAAGTCGCTAGGGATGACCCTCTTCACGCCAGCCTTCTCAGCGGCATGTATGACATCGACCTGTCTATCCAGGACAGCGTGGCCGAGAAGGCAGAGCACGGCGTCCTGTCCTGACAAGATTTACTGCAACGACTGCGGACTGAAGTCGGTGACGGCAATTTTCACCTGCGGTGGGAAACGCTTTCCCTCGCTAGAGTGCGTGACGATAGTCACAACAAAATCGGCAGCCAGAAGGGCGGGGACGGCATGGATTCCGATGCTCCCGCTGGCCTACGTGACAGTATGTTAATCGAAGCGTTAACTCGCGAGCACCGACAATGAAGATTTGGACAGCAACTTACCCCAACAACTGCTACGTTCATGATTGAGCTCATTTCTTCAGCACCTTGTCCTGAAAATTGACTGAGTGGGTATTGATCGTTGAATTAGATACTGATGTCCTGTCTTCTAAATCTTTCTCTCTTCTTGATGCTTACTTCGTCACAACACTTTATACTTCACCGACTCGAGGAGCCAACGTTATCGTACACCATGCTCTCATCAACTATTCCAATTCGATTAATAATTCATTTTCGGATTTCTCAGCAAGTTTGTAGGTTTAGGTTTCGAAAAAGGCCTCTGCCTGCGGTGAAAGTCAAGTCCGGAGATAACAATGACACAGGGCGTTGTCGCAAGGTTCTTGCGGGTATTATGTTATCAGTGCCAACTTCAATTCAATCTCATTTTGTGAACCACAAGAAACAATCAGCAGTCGATGAAAGGAATGTACCCAGTCGCATGATATGACGGGACTTTGCGCCTTCCAGGTAGCCGTCCCCCTCCAGTGCCAAGTTTGAACGAGAAGGCGGAATCGCGATTCCTCCACGGGCTGAGAACTTTGGGCGCTCGATTTTTATCCAGGTGCTACAAAGTATCCAATTCTTCAAAGCACCTTGGTTCGAGTGTATACCTTCGTGTATCAAACTCCGGAATATCTTTCGTCGCACGAATCCACGCGGCCGGGGCATACATTCCCCAACTTGAGACATTGCGGTTTTCGGACCTCCAGCTAAGAGGGACATTCATGTGCCGATTCCACTGTCTGTCGAAGTCATCACCTGTTGTTTCCCTTAAAATCTTGTAAGAAACGAGTGAGACAATCCTAGAGCCATTCTTTGCCAAGTCCCTCCAACTGTAGTTGAAAACCGTGGAGCAATAACCGCAGATGACAGAACGCCCTCGCTTTGCTCTGGTCATACTTTCAGGTTTCCAAACGTCGTCATACTTGTGATCCATGGGATCCCGCATTGTGAGGCTGTTTGATGGTGGATCAGGTGGTGTTCCCATGAAGATATGCGGGAATATCTCGCGCCACTTGAGGTGGGGACAGATCTGACGAAGGCTAGGTTCATTTTCGACTAGACCAAAAAGGTATCGTACTGCATGTCGGACTTTTTCCTTCTCTTTCGATGGTAGCAATGTGACAACAGTTCGAAGTAACAGGTTTCCGTCGGCTACGATGCAATTTGCAACTAGCAAAGCTTTGGCCTCGTGGTAGTCGCGTGTGAAAAGAGTCCTGGAAGATAGATCTGCCAGACCGTATACATTCAGGCGATGGCGATACGATCTCATTACAGCTCTTATCATGTTCAAGTGTATTTTGGGCGGTAAAAGAGGAGATGAGTATTTCCTGTGGAAAGCCATTAAGGGGTATTTTGGTATGTCCCAGCAGGCTCGGGCACGCCGACCACTCTCTTCCAAATACTTAGGTGGCTCTGAGGATTCTGGTGGATGGAAGACCTTGCACCGATAGCAAAGAACGTTTCTCATGCTGGGCACTTCCCGCTCTAATTGACGGAGAAAATGGAGTCTTTGATCTGTATTCATGCTCGAATTGAAATCGATGATGCATTGCCGCCCAACTTTGAAGAGCATCATTCTACTCGTCAGAGCCAACATCGCACGATCCTTAAGAGTCAGATCTTTGGCTACCAACAAAATGAGCTCGGCCGGAATGATTTCAATCGTGGCGTACCCAGAGATGAGGTAACCGTTCACTACTCTGGGGTTTCTAACGAGGTTAGGCTTTGGGTGAACTTTGCGAGCGCGTCGGAAGACATTTCGCAAACGCCCTTTCGGTGCCCGAACTGTTGGCGCTGTGTAGCCTTCAGGGACTGGTTCTATTGTCCTAGCGGGTGGATTGTGGGGTTGGGCCTGTTTGGGTGCAGGAGACTTTGAAGGTCGAAATGTTAGGCGTCGTATCTTTTGGGAAATAATGTGAGGCATCGTAAAAGATTGATAGGCGGCGAAGCATGGTCTTAGAAAAGATGTTAGGAGTGTGAAGTGAGCAAAATTCGTGGAAGAGATTCTGCATAGTTTGGACATTTACGGTCTGGCTGATGCTTTATCTCTAGTGTCATACCTAGAATGTGGATCGTAGTTATAAGCTGTAAAACTTTGCTTACCCGTCATAGGTTTACTGAGAAATCAAGGTTGCTGGCTTGAAAGCTTACCTTGTTGTCCTACCCTAATTATTCGTCTTCATCTATCGCCTCATGTTGCCATCGTCGCCCAGCGCTGTCGTTTCGTTATCGCAATAGTACGAAACTTTTAGGTCAAAGTTCAGGAGAGCTCTGGGTACAATGTCAAGAATGATGAAACGAATGCGAAAGATTAAGGGCCTTGATAATATCTCGGCGGGATGCTGCAGCTGACTTCCGTTGTGCGGGAGTGCCAAAGAGTGAAATAACAAGGATTGGGAGCTTCACAACCCTACTGTAGGTTTACAGCCGCATATCAGAACAAACTGATACATGCAAGAAAGGGATTTCAGGTTTACATATGTAGAAACATCAAGATTACAGTGCCACTTAACTTCCTTAGCCATGAACGCACAGAAAGTTCCACAAGAAAAAGGCTTTTGTTGCATTCATTGTCTCCATCTACAGTCGCTATCAACAGAAATAGTCCCGGTTGACTTCATTCATCCACGATGACGCTTGGTCTATCTTGCAAAAACCTAGAACTGGCCTCGTTGTACTCCAACTTGCCCTCGCCGCTGTGTCGATCAGATGCGGCCATTTCATTCGCCGCTCTGCGGTCGCGCGATTGGGGCGAGCTTGGCGAGCCAGGCAACTCTGCAGGGCTCAGGGTATTGGCCTCAATCTCACTGCATGACAGTGGATACAACCATTGAGAAGTCACAATCAGGCAGCGGCCAAGACATTTTACAGCTGTTAGTGACTCAAATCTCATACTTAAGAACGCTCATCGAAACATTGAATGAAGCCGTTTGTTATATCCGGCAAACTACCAAGTCTTATGGTCTCATGATACGCAAAAGAACAACAAGCGAACGATGGAGAATGACTCGATAAATGCGCTTTCTGGTGCATCATTCGCACTACCGTTGCATGTTCGTCACAGCGAAATGTCGCCGACCTTTCCAGTCGAGATCTTCGAGGCCATTCTCGCAGATGAAAGCCTCTCCCAACCTGATATGAAGGCACTCCGACAAACGTGTCGACTCTTTGCGTTTCTGGTAACCGATCGATTATTTCAGCGCATTGGCATCTCCAGAACATGGAGAGATCGAAAGTCCTTCCTGAACATTGCCGCGACGCCGCACCTTGCCAGAGCTGTTCGCACAGTCGCATGGTATGAGCTGCCTGGCAACGAGTCTAATCTGCGCCTCTTCTATGGTCCAGGGAGGCACCCGGAATTCTCGGACGGCCCGGAGCCTCCTAAATGTCGCCTCAAGAACTGGCGCAAAGGCAAATACAAACGGAAAAAGTTCACGTGGCCGGATCTATCCCGAAAAGAAAACGCGTGGCGCAATAGAATGTTTAGCGAAGCGGCATCTCTATTCTGGTGGAAGTTGGATGTTTCCTTCCAACCTTGTCGGTTATTCAGTCAGAACTCGATAGCGGCGAACGAGAAAATCGCGGCCGACTTCTTTCCTGTTTTCTGCGACTCCTTGCGCGCCATGCCGGGCTTATCGACTTTTGTTTCGGAGCCCATGCATCCCGACCGACCGCTCCAGGATGCAGTCGATGGCTACCCATTCGTTGCTCAGCTCTTTCAGAGCCACAAGGAGTCAATCCTCGACAAAGACTTCTCCGGAATCCATCGTTTCCTCCAGAAAGCTATATTTGCTTCTCGGCAGTGGTCAGGTGGACCGTCCATCGATGAACTTCACCTCGTTCATATCAATTTCCACACTGCGTCATGGGGCATGGATGATTTCCGTCTGCTCAAACGCCTGCATTTCTGCTGTATTAACCGGGATCCGGACGGAATGCTCCATTTACGCGAGATTCTCGGTGCTTCGAAGAACTTGTCAAGCCTACGGCTGTGCTTCGACATTGTCGGGCAAGAGATCCCCCCTTTCCCATCTGAACGCGTCCCTAGCCCTGAAGGTCTGAGGTATGTGACTCTCGACTGGACAAACCAGTGTCTTTTTGCTTCCCTATCGCGCATGCCCCGGTTGGAATCGCTATATTTGGACGGAGTGCCTTTCTCTTTGAATGGGCTGTCCTCTTTTCTCGAGAAGCATGCGGATACGTTGCGGCACCTTCACTTGAACATGATTCCTGGATACTGCCTGCCACCAGGATTCATAAACGACATTCCAAATCTGAACTTGGAAACGTTCGGGCTGGAACATGGCGGAGGGTGTCGCATTCACCGGACTGAATCTAGGGCAGACAGCTTCTTAGACAAGGAGGCCCAAACATTCGACGATGACATGTCCCTAGATAGTGATGGGTCTTACGAACCAGGAAACGATGGCTTCGATGAACTGGAGTCTATCACAGAAGACGACATCACCGCAGGTCAGCCCGTCATGCCCTGGGAAGATGACGAACGACCAATGTATGCTCGCGAACATATGTCGCACCTCCGCCACCTGGAACAATTTAAAGCAGAGGGTGGCGAGGGACCCGCAATGTGGCATTTTAAAAAGCGGAATGGCGAGGAGGCGTGGGGAGAAGACCCGTTGGAGTTCTGGCCAGATTGGGAAGGGAGTGAGGCAGGTGACGTGCGTGAGCCGCTGTCTGCTCATTGCAAAGCGTCTGCATTGATACCGAGAAAGACGAAACCTCTCACCAGAAGCTTCTTTTCTAAATGGGACGAGCCTGAAACAAATGGTCGGATTGTGAGGATCGACAAGTATTGGAAGAAAGCTGTGACCGACAAAGACATTGACATACAACCAACAGGTCCCCATCAACCCCGGTATATAGGCCCCCATCACCTCCGGTATATACCACGATGGTAACGAGGCTAGAACTGCCCTCCAGATTGCGGTTGTTGAGGCTTTCGATGTAGAAAGGTGACGATATCGTGGTATTAAAGGGAGTAATAAGTTGTAATTGCGTGGAAAGCGAACTTAAGACGACTCGCCCTCAATTCATATACGCTATAGGCTAGCTATAGAGGTTTCTCTGTGACCTAGGCCACCCTATCCCTCACTTATCTTCTCATCAGAATCATACGTCAGTTTGAAGGGTGTATTTGCAGGCAGTAGCCTGTTATATGAAAGTATCAAAAATGTTGGAGGGCAGAAGGATATTTCACGATAAAGTAAGGTACCACTCTACCGTCTATTCGAAACGGTCTGACTTTGATGTCGAGGCTTGGTCCTTTGCGGAGCGAATAACGAACAACGCGCTTGTCATATTGTGATAGGAGACAGCCTCAATTTATTCAGCGAGAATCATCCTCATACCCTCAGCTCATGCTCTGGGAAGTTTGAAGCCGCCCCAGTTCTGTGTGGTGAAAACATCTAAAGGATGATCTTTACGGAAGGTCCGATGATTGACTACCGACATTTCGATGCGATGGAGATCGATCCTTTGTACGAGTTTGGGTTCGGTCTCAGTGACACCCGCCACCTTTGATCTCGCGTCAGACCTTTCGGTCAAAACCTTGACGAATAACATGACACCTTTGGCTCTCGCAAGCAATGGCCCGTCCATACCTCTCAACGAACTGTTTATCTCGGTTGCAAATGCCACGATCCAAGTGTCAAGAACGGGTGATCGCCGCGGCGCAACCATTGTTCAGCTCTACCTGTCAATGCCCGCCGATTCGGCCCCATCACATCTGGCACGCCTGTGAGGCTTCTTCAGGGGTTCTCGAAGATTGAACTTGTTGCAGGTGAAACCGGGGAGGTGGCCTTTGAGCTGGACCGGCGAGACGTTAGCTATTGGGATACCACTGCTCGGACCTGGCGTGTCCCCACTGGAGAAATCCACCTCGAGGTTGGGTTCAGCTCTACGAATCTGCCAAAATCGGCTGAAGTAACAATCTTATGGGGGCATGCCTCTGCTGCCTGTACGTTACACCAAGGACGATGAAGAGGGATGACAGTGAGGACCACAGCGAGGACGCGAGGGGGCGACATCATGGAATATTACTGCAGTAGAATAAGTGCCCAATTCTGTGTGAAAAATACACATGCACGGCACCTTGCTGCGCAATTTCAGGCGCCACCCTGTGAGCCTACCGCGCTGCCTTGAAGTATGAGACCTTCGCAACCATATCTCGATGAACCGATTCATGGCGGTAATGACGTAGAGGAAGGCCCAATGGTTTGGTAACGCTAACAGGGTGCAACAGAGTTCCAAAGGTCTGGATCTTCAACTGTTCCGCGCCATGGATTCCTCGGCATGAAATATGCCCAATTATCTTTTGGAACACCAAGACACAGAATGCTTCTATTGACACAAGTCAGATAGCGCCGGTTGATGGTGTGAGAGTCTTTTAACAGGGATGGATGGACCTGCATCAGGGGGTCCCCGATCTGTTGGTCTGATCCAACGATCTCACCCCCCTTCCCGCCCTTCACCCCACCGCTAGCGTCATCCGGTCCACTGTCTCGGTGAGCGGCCGTGAACCCCACCTTCACCTTGATTTCTACCCCGCACCGCCGAAGGTGAACCGGTTTAAAAAATTTCCAACGTCGGCCGCCCGTTCACTCACGCCAAGTCTCACTCAACTGCTGCTAAAGAAGCTAAGCTTTTGAGGGCTGCGTCATCGAGAAAGTCCCTCATTCACATTCCTTCACCAGGCCCAGAATCCCGGATCCAGAGTTGCCCAGAGACTAAAGCGAGCGCCACGATGGACGAGCTAACGGCGTGGGCGAAATCCCACGGGGCCGCCCTCCACCCATCAGTCGAAATCTACAACGATCCAGCAACGGGAAACTCATTCCGCGTCTCCCCAGCAAGTGCCGGTGTCAAACCCGGCGATACGGTCGTCACCTGCCCCTTGGGTCTCACGCTATCTTATCTCAACGCCACCACCACACCGAACCCAGGCTTTCACCACCAAGACACACCTCCCTTCCCACCATCATTCCTCAAGAGCGTGCCTCCACATATCATTAGTCGCTTCTTCCTCATCAACCAGTACCTTCTTGGCAAGAACTCGTTCTGGTACCCTTACATCAGGACCCTGCCACAACCAGAACACCTCCAGTCATGGGCACTGCCCCCGCTCTGGCCATCCGACGACATTGAGCTGCTGGAAGACACCAACATCCATGTTGCCATCACCGAAATCAAAGCGCGCCTGAAGTCGGAATACAAACAAGCTATCGCTGCCTTCGGCGAAGACCCTGTCCGCAAAGATTACACACGCCTCCTCTACAACTGGGCCTACTGCATCTTCACCAGTCGGAGTTTCCGCCCGTCCCTGGTCATTCCCACTAGCCGACAGCACACCCTCTCCCTCCCAGAAGGCTGCGCCATCGACGACTTCTCCCTCCTCCTCCCTCTCTTCGACGTCGGAAACCACTCAACGCTGGCCAAGATCTCCTGGGACCACCCGGAAGATGCCGTCGACACCTGCGCTCTGCGAACGCTAGACGCCTACAGCCCCGGCGATCAGGTGTACAACAACTATGGCACCAACAAGACGAACGCCGAGCTGATGCTGGCCTACGGCTTTCGGATACCCGAATCAGAGGGTCTGCATAACGACTACGTCCACGTCCAGAAGCGAGGCGCCGCGCCCTCGGCGGAGGTCGGTGCTGGGTCGGCGACGAAGCCCAGGGACTATCTCATCTCCCTGCGGCCGGTGGCGCACCCGAGTTCTGTGGCTGCGCGGTTCGTGCAGCTGGTACCTGACGTCGACGCTGAGAAGATCTTGCCTGCGTTTAGGCATGTGCAGGACACTATGATCTGGGACCTTATTCTGGCGCAGACGACGGAGGAGCACCGGGATGAGCTGCTGCCGGTGCCGGATGGCGTCGAGGGTGCTGCGGTGAATCAAGAGCGATTAAGAATGGTTCTGACGGGTGGGGTTCCTGAGGATTCGACGCCATTGTTGGAGCAGACCGTGGCAATTATTCAAAACAAGATCTTCCAGGAGCTGGAACGACTCGATCAGTCTGAGTTTGAGCTGGACGAGTCCGAGGCGACGAGAAATCAGCTCATGGCGTGTGAATACCGGAGGCAGTGCAGAAAGGTTCTTATGAACGTCCTTGAGTCAATGGGAATGACTGAGGAGGCAGCGTGAAGTTGTCGCCGGGGTTGCGACTGAGGGTTAGAGACTTATGAGATATCCCTAAGGGCAAACGACTCTTATAGAATGCCTATACATTGAGCATGGTCTCAGACTTGATATCCGGAAACGGCTCATACGCTTCGGTCACAAGGACTCGAAAAGAAACGACTTGAATGAATCGCGGCATGATTTTGTGAGCATGCTCGTACACTTGCGTGATAGACTTTCGTTGCGAAATATTCTGCTGTATCCGATGGTTGAATACCAAGTCATTTGGTGAGTTTGCGCCCGTGAAGAAAGGTTTGGGCAGCTTCAAGACAGACCAAGACATGTAGCTTGAATGACACTCGGCAGCAAACGACAGAGAAAAAGATTCAATTGGGGGCCATCCAAATACCGAACAGATTCAAAGAGAACGACTGGCTTCAATCTCACCTGAGGTCGTCTCCCTGCTAATAGACTCAAGCTGTATTGAGATGAGTGTAAGGCCAATAGAGACGTGTAAGCGGCCTAGATCATGCCCCATTTAATCGGAGCCGCTCCCATCTTCGGACCCGATCCAAGCTCAATAAACAAATTAATCGTTTCAAACTCAAATTTAAGAGGAAAGGCACACACACAGCAGCATTTAATTAAACCAGAAATCCAGGCCTTCTCCTCAAGCTCCCGCTCATCCGGCGGTGCCAGCCAATGTGGACCCCCCGCGTTTCCCCTTTGGGGTCCGGGATGCCCTCCCTCCGCGCACCCGCATAAACACCACGCTACCCAACCCACTTCGCCATCTCGCCAACAACCCACAACCCAGCTTCCCCTCGTTCCTCTGGCAGTTCATCCCATTCCCAACCGATCCACGGACCCGGGTTCTGCGGTCTAATCAGGCTCGACAGGCTCCGCTTCCGTGCTGCCCCTGATCTTTTCCGCCAATGGACCGGCAGCAACGGCGAGGCGGGGGTGACAGCTGACGATCCCGGTTTGGGAATGGCTTCGGAGACGCGGTGCCGGCGATGGACGGGTGGTGAGATGAGGCGATGGGAAGATATAAAGCCGGTGGGATGAACGCTCGATTGTGTATTTCAATCTGGCTCTTTGATTGCCAAGCCAGAGTTTTTCCTTCTCTCGTCTTCAGAGTTCCTCAAGATGGCTCGTCTCACGGCTTCGATTCTTGTTGCAGCCGGTATTGCTGGCGCTGCCAACGCGCAGGCTGCGGTGTGGGGGCAGTGTGGAGGAACAGGATGGACGGGGGCGACAAGCTGTGCTGCGGGGGCTTATTGCTCTTCGCAGAACCCTTGGTACTGTGAGTTGATGCTTTTCACGGAATTCAAGATTTGAAACTCATGGAGTTAGTCCAATGTGTCCCTGGCACCGTCGCCGCGTCAACTTCAACCGCTGCTAGCGTCCCGGCCACAACCACGGTCCGAACAACGACGACCACCGTCCGGACCTCCTCGTCCGCCGGCGCGACGGCTACGGCCACTAGCTCGCCGTCCGGAGTGAAGTACTTCATCACCTTGTAAGCCTCCCTCACCCTGTATCCAATGAACAATCACCGACACCTCATCCAGCGGCGACTCCTACTCCCAGACAGGCTTCAACATCAACTCCACAAAGCCCAACCCGCAGAACCCCCTCGGCAACCCCGATCTCCCGGGCTGGACCGCATCAGGCGGCCTGGACTGGGTCGGCTTCATGGTGACGCAGTTCAACGCCAGCCTGGTCTACAGCTACAACCTCGCCTATGGCGGCGCGACCACCGACGCGACGCTCATCGCGCCGTATGCAAGCACCGTGCTCAGCTTCATCGACCAGGTGGCCGAATTCTCCCGCAGCCTGGCGTCAAAGCCGAGCTGGGCGCCGTGGACGGCGGATAACACCCTCGCCGGGGTCTGGATGGGTGTAAATGATGTTGGGAACGCTTTCTGGCTGAGTAACAGGGAGACGCTCCTTGTGCAGGTCCTGGGCAAGTACTTTGATCAGTTGCAGATTTTGTACAATGCTGGAGTAAGGAAGTTTGTGCTGCTGAGCGTACCTCGTGAGTTTTCCGCGATTTGATGCCTCCATGTTATACCCCTGACACACGAAAGCTACGCAAAAGACGCCTCTGATGCTCGCCAACGGCGCCGACTCGAATGCGCAGCTTGCGGCGGCTATTAAGCAGTACAACGATCTCATCAACAGCAACCTCGCCGCTTTCAAGGCCAAGAACTCGGGTGTGACATCCTGGGTTGTTGATACCACTGCAGCTTTCGACAAGGCCATCAACAACCCGACCGCCTATGGCGCCCCTGATGCTACTTGTTACAACGCCGACGGCGTCAGCTGTTTGTGGTTCAATGACTACCACCCTGGCGTAGCCATCCAGAAGCTTGTAGCACAGGCTGTTGCTCAGGCTGTTGGTGCACCGTTTTTCAAGGGTAAGTTCTCGTTCTGATACAGGGGCGAAGTGACTGACGACGTGTAGTGTAAGAGGCAAGCTTGGTGCATCGACATCTTGAGATTCCAAGGGAGAGGGTCTGACGGTAGAGAGGGTTTACTCAGTGGACGAATAAAATCTGAATTAAATCCCTTCAAGTTGTGTTGCTATGATATCATATAATGCGAAATCTCCGTTTCAAAACCCTCGCCACCGTATTGTATTCTCCTGGTTTATGTAAGATTACCATGAGCACTTCCCTCACGCGTCCTTGGCAACATCATCGCTCACAAACACAATCCGATCCCCGCCAACCCGCGCCTTCCCCCATGCCGTCTCGATATCCTTAAACGCCTCCACCGCAACACCCTTCCTCTCCAACTTGGCCGCAATCTCAACCATGCCCCCAAGCTCCTTCGCATACTCTTCCATCGTCCAACTTCCAGGCCCTGCACCCCTCAACGCGACCCTCTTCCCCCTCAGAATCGCCCCGGGCAGCATCATCGTCTCATCCCGCGAGACGGAGCCAATATGGATGTACTGCACCTCCCTCTCCGACTTGGGCAGCGCCTTCAAAAGCCCCGCCGCCGCGTCGCCGTACACATAGTCCAAAACGACGTCAACCTCGCCCAGCTTAGACCAGTCCGTCTCGGGGCCCAGCACGATCCTCTCGTCAAGCGGCATCTCCGCCAGCGCCGCTTCGTTTCTCGCGATCCCAATCACCCTGCCTGCGCCCTTTGACCTCACAACATCGACGGCGACCCGCCCGCTGGCGCTCGTCGCTCCGAGGATGGCGACGGTGAAGCCCGGCTTTTGAGGCGCCGCGCGCGCGGAGAGGGCCATCCAGCTGCTCATGATCGGGTTCATGAACGCTGCGGCCGTGACTGGGTCCGCATTCTCAGGCAGCTTGGCGACGAAATGTCGCTCAATGTTGACGAACTCTGAAAATGAGCCGGACTGGAGGGAGGCGAAGTAGTACCGCTGGCCGGTTGTCGGGTCTTCGCCGACGCCGTCGACGCCGGGGTGGTGAGGGAGGGTGGCAGAGGTGTAGTGCTTCCCGGAGGCGCGGGAGAGGACGAGGCGGTGGATGCCGGCTGCGAGTACGCGGAGGCGGATCTGGGATTGTGAGGGTGCTGGGAGGTCTGGGACTGTGGTGTAGGTTGGGGGAGAACCCCAGGTGTTGACGATGGCGGCGTGCATCTTTGGTGCGTGGATCGTATGGTGGAAGTGGTGTGGTGTGAAGATGTTGCGTGATTGGGAGATGAAGAGGGACAGGAGGTGAGAGAGTCTGGTGTTCATTGTGGTTGAAACATTTGGCATTCTTGAAATGGCTCTTATATACGAACTATGCGCACACATGGGACCGTTTTCATAGGCCGCCTCCACTACTAGTTGCGCGATGAGTAAGTGATCTCACTGGAGTGCAGCAAACAGGCACATTGTGGCTGCGAGACGCTGAGTATGCGTGCATACGAATACATAACGCGTTGTACGTGAAATGGAAGCCCGCGCGGTCGGCGTTATTCCAAACCACCGGAGAGCCGCGCGCGGGGCCCAAGACGGAATGGTGCTCGCGCTCGCGGCGATGCAGGCGATTGGCGGCTGAACCAAGCTTTCCGATTACATGCTGACTATTTCCCACATTGGGCAAGTTTCCTCACCACGCGTCCAATGCTGACATTCGCCGTGTTGGGCATGTTTCGTAGAGGCACATGCTGACTACTCCATGTGGCGTGGCAAGTTGTTTGTTCTTCGCTGTAGGGCTGACGGGCGCGCGCGACAAAAGTAGCTAGGCGCGAGCGGGGACCTTGAAATCGCCGTCGGCGGTTTGGAATTCCGACAGTGAGGACTCTTCTTCGTTGAGTCAATCGTGGAGTTGATTCGGAAGTCGGCACGAAGAAAATGACATGTTTCCCTCCGCCGTCCACGGTCCGCGGATCGTCCGTGGAAGTTGTCATCAATATCCTCCATAATATCTATCCAAATCATCGTAACTCAACTCGTAGTCGCCCTGCATGCCACCTTCCATAATCCGCTCGAACCGGTCATAGCTGTCCATGCCGCCATCATCGTCGTCGTCTGTCCAATCCTGGTCTCCACCGTAGTCGTCGTTACGGATGCGACTCATCCTGTCCTAGGCCTTGACAAACTTCTTGTACTGATAATCGTAGTCGTTTTTATCCACCTTGTCACGGACTCGATCAGACACACGAGGAATGCAGGGCTGCTCGGCGGAGCGACCGATGGCCCACTTGATGGCCTCGCCTAGAAAGACATCGTTATCGTCACTGGCCAAGTACGTGTCCACGTTGCCATCTGGCTTTCCAAGCATTCCGTTCTCCGACAATATCTCCCGCAGGAAGGCGACAAAGTTCTGGATCTCCCAGTTCAGCTTGCAATAGTTGATTGCAAACTCGCCTTGGACGATTGACTCCACAACCTGGTCCAAAATCTGAAGGACCTCGATGTGGCGCATGTTGCCGACCCGCTGAATGCGCTGCAACATGTCTTTCGTCCTTTCTTCACTTGTCGCCTGCCTTGACTTTGCAAACTTTTGCGGAATGCCGAAAGGGCTGACATTGGAGTCGACTGGCAGACCCAAGTGATGGCGAGCGATATGAGCGATGTAGTCCATGTTTCCACGCTCCCAAATCTTGATTTCCGCGTAGCGCTCGTGGAATTTGGCAACACGGTCAACCTTCTTAAGGAGGTCTCCCCAGACATGGTACCGCTTGCCGTTAGACATGTTCGTGTACTTGACAAAGACATCGGAAGCTTTGAGCTCGCTCGTGGCGGGTGCATTGAAGCCGAGGAGATCCGTTCCGTGGAAGGCCAGGAACTTGTCGAATTCTAGCCAAGACGGCATATCAGGGTAGTCCCGCTTGGCGATGGTGTACAACACGCCACTCCAAAGGGGCTCAGGCGTTCGGGTAAGAAGACGAATGCTCATGATAGTGCTCTGCAGTTTGGTCCGGAAATCAAGCAACGCGGGCCATACAGGCTCGCAGCGGAACAGCTCGTATTCGGGAATTCCCTCCTCAAAGGGTATGCCCATCATGTCTGCCCGTCTCTCCTTGTCTTCCAACGTGAAATCCTCAAAGATGTAACAGTCCATGATGTGGAGATCGCGCTTCGCTTCATTCTTCCACTCCGAGGTGAAGACGGCGTCGCACGTTTCGATAGACTTCCTCACGCACTCGGCAACAACTTTGCCCGTTTCTTGTAGCTGTTCGAATGCGACTTCCACCTGAGAATCAATGATGTTCCGGATGTCAAGATACAGTTGGAGGGAGAAGATGAAGTGAGACGGGTACATGCGCAGTTCCAGTACCTTCTCAAAGTCGAGCTCCATCTCCGGTTGACCCGGTATGACGGGAGGCTGCTCCTGGGTCTTCTTCAACGCCTTCACTGTAGCGATCTCCGGGAACAGGTCAAACATGCATGCGCTGTTGAATTTCATGAAGTCGGCCAAGGTGATGGGGCCGTACTGGGGTCGTCTGCGAGCCTAAGGAGGGATCGTCGGGACCTTCCCTGGCGGCATGTGATCGAAAATATCCCTGATGCCGTTGTATGCGGACCATCCTAGCCAGTCCGACTCCTCGCGCCAGATCTTCTCGTCTTGTTCCTCCTTCGTCGCAGGCTTGTCGTCGTAGTCAACATGCTCCATGCCGTATTCGAAGAAAAGCATCTCCATCATCGCGTCATAGGTGCCAAGCTTCGAGAGACCATTTTCGCGAAGAATGACGAGAAGCTCCCCCTCCATGCTGCGGAAGAGCTCGGCGGCGGCATTGGTGATGACGGCGAGAGTGTTGAGCGAGACGGACTTGTCGTAGAAGTAGTCGGCCCAGCGCTCGGCGACGTGGTTGCGGATGGTGTTGAAATCCTCGAAGAAGCAGTAAATGAGCATGTAGTAGTCGAGGTCCTCGTCGTCGACTTCGTCGGGGTCCCTGCCCACCGAGAAGCGGTCGACCCAGTCGCTGTCTCCACCCCTGCCGGACTTCTTCGCGCCACCCTTGGGCTTGGAGGCCTTCTTGCCCTTTTTGCCCTTGCCGCCTTTACCCTTCTTTTGGGCCTTCTTAGCCGGCTTGCGGCCCGGAGCCTTTGCCTTCGGAGCTTTCTCTTCCTCTTCCTCGGATTCAGACTCCGACTCGGGTTGCTCGGGATCGACCTCGCCTGCCTCGGCAGCCTTCGGCTTTGGCGTCTTTGTAGATTTGCCTGGCTTCTGGAACTGGAGAAGGTTGAACATGTTGTCTAGCAACTTCATGTTCAGACGATCGCCAGCTCTCCGAGACTCCTCCTTCTGCTTCGGGCGTACTGCAGACACAGCCGACTCGAGCACGCTAAGGACCTTCTCCAATACCTTGATAATGTGCTCATGCTACTGATTGCTGAGCTTCAATTCGCCGGTCTTGTCTTGGTCGGCAGTCTTGGAATAGACCCGGGCGCTCTTCTTAGTGCCACCACGTCGCGCAGGACCAAGATCGGGTCCCACGGGATTTCCTCAGGCTTGCTGTTGTTGGCGATTGTCTCCGCCATGTGTTCCAGCTCGCTCCAGTGCACCTTGTCAGAGGCCGCGTCCAGCTTGGGCTTCCTCATCCCAGCGGACGAGCCATTGCCTTCGCTGGCATCCGGCGGTGTCGGGCTTGGCGTGAATTTGCTGGCGGTTTGCTTCAGCCAGTCGGTCACCCGCGCCTGGCCGAGCTTGTAGCGCTGCCAGGTGCTAGGGGACTGGAGCTTTCCGCCATTGTTTCTCCTGGTGAACGATTCTTTGCTACCTGATTCTCTGGTGAACTTGATAAGTAGAACAGCCGGCGGGAAATGTGACGACGAGCGGGGATATCTTGACCACGTCGCATTCCATGGTGGGGTGGGACAGGGAGAAGGCGCGAATCGAACGCGTCGCGCTGTGGCCCACTTAAGAAGCTTCCTCCCATTTAAATGAAACCTCACCGAAATCACCCTCGGTGAGTGTCGGTCAGCCTCGAATATGGCATAGGGCACATCTCAACCATCCCTATTTCTTCCTTTCTTATGATCGCTTCGTGATTTCTGATGTTTCTCAAGGGCATTGGTCACGCGGAGAATTCTGACTTCGACTTGACTTGATTGTGACTAACTACTGCTGCTCTGCTTGCCTTCTGGCCACTGCATCTTGCGTCTCTCGCATGATCTGAGATCTCCCTTGCCCCAACTCCAATCTTCTCATTCCGCCCTCATTCCAGCGTTTATAACTTCCTTCAATGGCTGGTACTCTATCAAGAATCGTAAGAGTCAGAAGTATAGGCATCGCTAGAGTGTCTGCCGCAGTTGTTGCAGTACCCGCGCGACACTGTGCCGGCGGCGAGGTTGTCGGTGCCTCCGCAGCTTCCCGTCTCGCGGCGCTTGCTGCACGTTCTTCTTGAGGTGATGCGAGTGTGGTGGATGCGGCCACACTTCATGCACTTGTAGCGGACGTTTCTTCTGTAGCACATGGCGGGCAACGTTGATTGATTGATATCTTGTTTGGTGTTTGGGCGGATGATAAGAGGGTGAGTTGATTGGGCTGGATTGCAATCTGTATGCGAGGGTGTGTTTGTTCTTCTGTGTTGTTCTGTGGAGGAAAAGAGAAAGCCATCTACCGGGACGGCCTTGACATATTTATACAACAGTTATTTCTGCGTTGTGACACAGAATCTCTCGAAGCCTGCAGTGATTTAGACGTAAAACTGTGAGTTCATCACGATGCTTGCCGCAAAGGAGTCAAGTCAACAGTTGTGCGCGCTGATTCATGGTCAACCGGCAAAAATGGCTAGCTCGATCGGGTACCTCAGCCTGCGATCGTGACCATAACCGCGAGTTGGCTCATTCAGACTATTTTCGAGCACGTACGCTGAGACCCCAAATGCTCAGGCCGTCTCTGCCTTGGCTAATCTCGATGTAGCCCTGGGAGACATTCCCACTTGTTGGAAACCCCGTACATGAGCAGCATCCATAGCTCAACAGCTCGGAGAACCATTAGTATTCATCTTCAGCGGTGTTGATGTCCATTTTGTCTACTTGAACTACCATATCAAGGCCTCGCAATGTTTAAAGCCGGTCTACATGTACTCATCAGAGTTTCGCAACCGCCCGAGAGTCATAAGTGGCTCTCTCCTTCCCACTCAGCTCTCGTCTTGCTGGCCCTCCACGACTGCCATCGCCCAAGAATGCGTCTTTCTGGTCCTGATATTCCTTGCGGAATCGCCATTTGTGAGCCAACGATTGTGGCAACTCTCCTCTAACGGCCTTTGCGAGATATTCGCCCAGGACTGGCAAGAATTTGAAGGCACTGTAACAAGGGTGGTGAGATACTGATCCAAATGCTGTTAGGGTGATGTCATCTTACTGGCCACATCCAGCCCCGCCAATGAAGAGGTTCTTATAGTCGGGATGATCATCCATGATGAAATCCCCTGTTGGGGTATCCGTGTACCAGCACATAGCGACTTTGCTGAATGGTCGATCCGCCAGCTCAGGAACTATCTCTCGAAGTCCTCCTCGCATCCTGTCCTCACCATCTGCCGGGGCAAAATGTGGTCGCTCCTTTGACACAAGCGGAGGAGACGAAGCATTCGGAGTCAGCTTTCGGTCGTCGTCGCCTGGTGCTCGCGTATATCCCCAGCCATGGACCGCCATCTTCAACGTTTTGGTGTCCTCGTGCGGAGGGAAGTTGAACCAGCCAGTCGTGTAGTTGATGTAAATCGGAAGGTCACGATACTTGACCATCTCCTCATCTGTCAACGGAAGATATGCCAAGACTTGGGCCGTGGATAGTGTCGAGTTGTACATAGGCACAAGTCCAGAGCCCCAAGCGCCTGCGGTCAAGATGAAGCGATCGCCTTTGACTGACGACTGAGGCCCGGCAAGAGTGCGAACGGCGGTGATGGTGTTGTGAGCATCAGTCTTGAAACCCACCACTGTGCCTGCCGGACCGCAAATGAAAGAGATCCCGAGCTCGAGACACTCATCACGAAGTTGAGTAATGGCCTTGCTTGCATCCGCCCAGCCGGCTTGGTTGTGGTGATATGCAGAGAAGTTAGGCCCTGTAAGGGTACCTGTCAGGGTTGGGTAGATGCTTCTGGCAGTCTCGGCGTCCTTGAGAATCGACCATGGCAACTGATGCTTCGTCAACTGAGCAGTGGTTTTGTCCATCCATGACTCGTCTCCAGGCTTCGGCGAGCCTGCCAAGATGTAGTTGGTTTGATAGAAGATGCCCTTGTACTTGGGGTCATCACGCCACCTGAGGTAAGCTTCGCGGGCAATGCGGTGATAGTCTTCATCTGCGTAGTCGAATCTCACAACGCGGGAGATGTCAGTGCTGGAGCCATCCGGTACCTTTCATACTTAGTAAAAATCATCGATGGAGGTGCTGAACTCTTACCGGTGGCATTCGTCGATCAAGCACCTTGATATTTTTGTAGCCGTCCAAGGCTAGCTGGCGGGCAACGGATAAGCCAAATAACCCCGCGCCGATAATGACAATTTGGGCGTTCTTATCCATGCTTCAGTGTTGGTGTTGGTGTGGTTGCCAGAAGATCTTTGATGAAGTCTTATCTATGCATATTCTCATGCCGAGATACGCTGTTCATGGCTTAAAGTAGGCAGACTCCTTCGGTCTCAATTAGGTATGATGCCGAGGTCCCACAGGCATCGGCCCCCACGAGCCGATTACGGGGCCGGTTCCCCGCACCGAGTGCTCCTAGCGATGGCGGACATCCGTTCACGTGACCGGAAGGTGCTGCGCAAGAGAAGCGTCCTACGTCTCGGGAGTGACGGTTACACAAGCTGAGTTGATAGAACCCAAACAATAGAAAACCTCATAAAAGAGCTGGTTGTCAAAGTCCAAATATTCCACAGCTACGTCTTCCGCCAAGTTGAGATTCAATGAGAGTTGCCTCTGTGCTGCCTGTTCTATGTTCATACAACGACCTTCAAGTTCAGTCCTAGTATGGGGTGCTTCAATTTCCAAGCTCGGGAATTAGATGTCAAAGAATCGTATCATAACCAATTAAGTTGTTAGGAACTGAAGCACTTGCCACCTTCAAAGTCATTAATCGGACGACCGATTCTAACTGTTGCACGAGCATCTTTGCGGTGAACGAGACATTCGGAAGAGCTGGCTGATTATTCAAGACAATATCGTGTTCTAACTTGCATTCAGAGTTGAACGATCCAGACCAGCACGGAACTTGCTGTATTCAATCTATGTTGTTAAGGTAGGGGCTGACAGTGGGCACGGAGGTGTTCCGTCTCCAGTTCGCCACTGATCCACTATGCTGAGGTTCAAAGCCCAGTCGCACCCGTACCCACTGCCGCGGGGCACGATTCATAAGAATCCGGGGTAACGATGGCACAGGACTGGCGACAACAATTTGTATCACCAACTCATCACTTGACCGGCCACAGGAGTGATATCGCATATGTGTAAGCTGGGCTCGGTCAAGACTCAGAATACGCAGCGCGAAACGGGGTAAGGGTTGAGACCGATGAAGGCTGGACCAGTAAAGACCACCTCCACTCATGCTGCTATTTGTTACTGAAGTTGTTGTCAATAGGTCGCTGTTACTGAATAGAAACTCCCAGGAATTTTCTTTTCAGGTTTCCCTGAAAAAGCATCATTTCTAAAAGAAATGATCACGAGCTTTAGAGTTATCTGATGTGATAATGGGTACACGTGCCGAACCACCGCCAACAAGCGGTTTCCCGCTGGCTGCCGCTCAACCGGCCTTCGGCTCGCTAACTGAAGATTTCCCCGCAGCACCGGCTTGCTGCCTCATTATCAACGCTTCGCTTCGCAGTCCAGCACCGTAACATACAGTGAAAATTGTTGCTGGAAACGACGATTTGAAATTCTCGTGCACGCTGAATCGAAAAAGATGTCAACACCTGAAGATCTTTTGAAGCTCGATGACTTCCAGAACATCTTCTCGCTGAAAGGGAAGGTTGCAGTCATCTCTGGCGGGTCGCGCGGATTAGGTCTTCATACAGCAAGCGGGTAAGTTCAAGAACACACGATTCTATCTACCACTGACAGCGATGATGGCTAATCAGCTCTCCAGCTTTCTCCAAGCAGGGTGCTCCCGCGTTTACATAGTTGCCCGCAGCGAGGGCCCTTTGAACGATGCCGCGAAAGCCCTCAATGCACTCACGAACAAAAACCCTGACGCTCGGGCGATCGCAATCGTTGCAGATATATCAAGTCAAGCAGGATGCGCAAAGATGGCCGCTGAAATTAGCAAAACCACGGATCATGTCGACATTTTGGTTGCCAACGCCGGCGCAACTTTTATTGGCTACATGGACGATTACAAGGAAGATGATTTCGACCGGGTCATGAAAATGAACGTCAGCAGCATCTTTTTCTCAGCTCAAAAGTATGTCCCTCAAGTATTTGACGTTCTGTATGGAAATATTGACAACTTTTGAAGATTATCTCCGTTACTTCAGGCTGGGGGCACAGTCCAGGATCCATCTCGGATTATCATGGTGTCTTCAGTGGCGGGCGTCGTTGTTGGGGACATGGGTGAGCACGGAAGTAAGTCACATTAATTCAAGGACTTTGTCACTGCAAGCGCTGACCATTTGAATAGCATACGCGTACGCCGCTTCCAAGGCAGCTGTGATTCATCTGATGAAGAACCTGGCCGTGGAACTTGGACCGAAACATATCACGGTGAATGTAGTTGCACCCGGAATGGTTCCGAGCCAAATGAGTGCGCCGCTGATGAATCGGCATGGCGGTATTGAAAGCGTCTCAAAGCAGGTGCCGGACCAGAAGCTAGGCAGTCCCGAAGATGTCGCTGGTGTAATGGTATTCCTATCTTCGAGGGCTAGCAAGCACATCAATGGGGCAACCATTATGTTGGATGGTGGAAGTTATTTGGTTCGAGGTTGTGCCTAGTTATGCATTTGACAACACTCATCTAAGGGTAGAAATGTTACACATAGACTAAAATACGACAAGCATAGACTCCGAATATGGTCTCATGAGTCATATCCCCCTGGTAGTCGCAAGTGCCATGGCTTGGAGGTTTTGGTGATGACATAGGACTGGGCTGTAGCGATTTCAGTCGTCCACCATCGGATCGCTTGGACAACTCCGCAAGATCTCTTGCGTTCATGCCCTGTTGATGCTGCCCTCTGATCTATGGCGGGTGAGCGGACTCTGAGCGGGAAACCGCTTCTACCGCAGTTCCGCGCACCCGCCGCCCAATGCATCTCAAGCCGGATCAGGTAAGACGTCACCTGCCCTGAACCCGAGACCGACCGAAATCCAGGATAGCCCTTGGAGCAATATCAACCCCACGGGGAAATCGTCCGAGGTCTCCATACGCGTGGCTATGGAGTTTACCCCAGGTTTTCGAGGCCTTGGAATTAGCACCGGACGAAGTTAGCTAGAGTCGTCATAGTCATTTCGAAGGAGACACAAGGCCAATTATACATAAAACTCTTGAAAACGTATCAAATCATTGACCATGTAGATAGACCTTGTGAATCTTCGTCTGCTCTTTATTTTGACAATTCTGTACCCTTCACGTATCACTCAATTTGTCCAACTTCAGGGTGCGGCGGCGCAGTAGCTTGCGGTGCTTCGGGATCCAAGTCCAATTACAAATCGGTTCGAAATAATGCCAACAGCAAGTGGTGGCTGGATGCAGGTGAGACGATCCGTCTTCCTGAGGTGACATAGACGTGCTGATCTATCAGGACTGCGGAAAAACGTGTTCCACTGCGTCGGTCTCTGCGGCACGCTCTTCTTCAATGGCTGTAAGAACGACGCTCATTACTCTCCCAGCTTGCATGCGGTGAAGACGCATTCCAACTAACGGTATCCCAAAGACGACGGAAGCCTATTCAATGGTCTTCAGACAATTGACGCTTGGCAAAATTTCTTCGGCCATCCCAAAGGCAATCTGCTAGGTTTGATGAACTCAGTTGCACTATTTCCGGGGTTGATATCTCCGTATTTCGCCGAGTTGATCGCAAATCGATTGGGAAGACGATGGGCCGTTTGGATTGGTGTTCTGATCAATGTGAGTTCGATTACCTGCTACTCTTCGCAAGACTGACGCCTAAATCGGTGCAGATCGCTGGCGCTGTGGTTAACTCCGCGGCCATCAACCTTGGGATGTACATCGCCGGTCGTGTCTTGATGGGCATTGGCATCTCTATGGGGCTGACGATTGCACCGACCCTCCTGCAAGAAATTGCGCATCCTCGCTATCGAGCCCAGATTGGCAGCATGTGTACGTGACAAGCTACCTATTGGGAGACAACAGCCTGGAATAATCTCTGACACATCTTAGATACCTGCATTTACTATATCGCTGCCGTGATCTCAGCCGGCGTCTGTCTCGTCACCAGACATATTGAAGGAAACGCTGCATGGAGAATTCCTTGCTACTTGCAGCTTGTTGGGCCAGGCGTGACTTTAACGATGACCTTCACTATGCCGGAGTCTCCCAGGGTAAGTGATTTCGTATTCTTCACCAAAAGTCCAAGGCTAATGTCTGTACTAGTGGCTTGTTAGACACGGCGCTTCTGACGAAGCTCTACAAATCCTCGGAAAATACCACGCAAATGGCGACATCAACGACCCCCTTGTTCGGCTCGAATACGAGGAGATAATGGAAAATCTGCGGGTTGATGAGGTCAACTCTGAGACCAAATACACCGACTATTTCCTGCCAAACAACCGCCCTCGTCTTTTCTTGCTCGTCGTTATCGCAATCGGGACGAATTGGGTTGGAAATGGCATCATATCGTACTATTTGTCGCCTATCCTGAGTACGATTGGCATTCGGTCCACGGAGCAACAAGCGGGACTTAACTTGGGCTTACAGATTTGGAACCGTGAGCTACTTTCCTTTTGCTCATTATCATCCTGTTGAGAATACTTGAGAACGAAAAGAGAATGATATGCTGACTGCTTTCCCCGCCAGTAATACTCTCCACCTCAGCAGCACTTTCTGTTGATCGCGTCGGACGCAGGCCTCCTGGCTCACCTCAACCATCGGCATGTTCTTTTCGTTTATTGTAGTCATGGGACTTTCAGGGGCCTACGATACCCAAGGGCAGCAAAAAGCAGTCGGCCTCGCTGTAGTCCCGTTCTTGTTTGTTTTCTTCGGCTTTTATGATCTCGCGTGGACCCCACTGTCGAACATGTACTCGGTCGAGATCCTGCCCTACAACCTGCGAACCAAAGGACAGGCAATCTACAACATCGTTCAAGGATCCGCAAATGCCGTCAACCAGTGGGTCAATCCGATTATCCTCGAGGCAATTCACTGGAGATACTACGCGGTTTATATCGGAATTCTGGCCTTTTACTGCGTCATTATTTATCTCAGATTTCCCGAGACGAAGGGACTCACGATAGAGGAAATCGCGATTATTTTTGATGGAGATAGAGCCAAAGGTATCAGCCGTGCTGCGCGTGTTGTCCGTGATGAGCCTCAAACTGTCGGCGATGGACATTCAATTCGGTCTGAGCATGCGGACGATATCTCCATCAAACAAAATGGCATGGCGGGCAAGAGCAGCGGCAATGTCACTGCATCTGAGCGAGCATGATTGCTACAGCAATACCTTTGAAAAGATTAGATCGTCTGATCTGACAAATAGATTATTGTCTTGAGTGATGAATTGGGCGCAGATGAATTCAGCGGCGAGAAGGATGGGAATCTGCAACCAGGAGAGATAGTCATATTCGCATAGAAATGTCAAAGACCATTCGTATTCAATTTTGTTTGAAGGTTATGATTTCGGTAGAGAAGCTTAACTGAATGGTTTTTCATGCGCTTTACAACTCTGCCCATGATGTCCGTTACTTCGACAGTCATTGGGGAAGCGGTTTCATTGTGCGATGAACTTCCGAACCAAGAAAGCTATTCCCATCTCATATGATCAGCGTTTATCCCTCTTTGAAACACTGTTTGCGCAACGTTAAAATCAGAGTCGAGTGACCAATCTGGAACTCCTGTCTCCAGTAGTCATCACTTAGGGTAGGTACTTGATGGAGTACAAGCGAACCATTGCTTGTGGCAAGTGGCCATCGCAACAGGGGCCCTTCAGCGGAGTGATGACGTGTTGCCACACCATCAAGGGATTCAGTGAAGCAGGGAGTCAGCGGAACGTCAGCTGCCGCTTCCCGCCTCTATGTCTGGGTGTTGCGGCACGCTGATGCCGACCCTCCCAGTACTTCGGACGCCACATAGGTACGTTTGAACGCGGAAGGGTCGATGCAGGCTAGGCGGTCGTACCGCAAGCCGCACATGAATAGTTGAATTCAAGAAATTAGTACCTTAGGGACGATGTCTAAGTGATCAGCTTCATCAGGGCTCCTGTTGAGCGTCGAGATTGATATTTCAGGGTCGTAACCTGCGCAGGTGCTCAAGGCAGACGGAACACCCGGTCTCCAATCTCCACCATCGTATTTCTAACCTCAAACCATCAGTATGAGTCCCCCCACCGTCGCGGAGCTTGCAAAGCTCATTGATCATTCCGTCATTGACCCTTTTCACACTGAGAAGGATCTAAGAGAGGGAGTCGCCCTGGCCAAGAAATATAAAACGGGGCAGTTTGTCACGCAACCTTTCCGCGTCAAGCAAGCTCGTGAGCTCTTGAAGAGCACCGATATCAAGCTCCAGACCTTTGTGGGTCTCCCTCATGGAAGCGATCACACCGCTGTTAAAGTCCTCCAGGCTTCCCTAGCTCTTGAGGATGGGGCACAGGAAATCGACATGGTCATCAACATCTCCGCATTACTTTCAGGAGATGTCAAGTACGTGGAAGAAGAGATTAAGGCGGTCGTTGAAAAAGCAAAAGTGAGTGACCATCAGTCTCTGACTACCTAGCTTGCACTGGCTTACCCCACCTCGACATGTAGCGGTATGATGTGGTTGTTAAGGCCATTATTGAAGTCTTTTTCTTGAACGATGAGCAAATCAAAACGGCGGGACTGGCAGCCGAGCGGGCTGGTGTTGGCTTTGTCAAGACTTCGACTGGCACTAAGCCCGACAAAGTGCCGGATGTGGAGCGTGCAGTGAAAGTCCTGAGGTCTGTGCTCAAGCCCACGACGGTGATCAAGGCATCTGGTGGATGCTACACCACTGATGCTATCGTGGCCTACTACAGGGCTGGCGCGAGAAGATTCGGTGCATTTGAGACAGCGAAGATACTTGAAGGCTATGAGGAGTTGCTGCTCCGGGGTGCGACAGGGCTGGAGTGAGACGCCACTGTGGATGACATGTAGCTTGCCTCATACTGAAGAATAGTCTTTTCCTGAAGAAGGATTGTGTCTTGAGGAGTGATCTTGTTCTCGCTTCCATTGATAATGGTGCCCTTATCATAGTACGCTTTTCTGACTCTATTCACACGAAAGGTTGACAGAATAAACTGAAGTAGCCTTTTGATAACATATTATCTCTTTCGTAACTGCCATGTGTAGAGTTTGAGACAAAAAACCTAGAGCCCAATGCGCCATGGGATTCAACTCACATATTAGCAGAGAGACAGCATAGTTGTGAATGTAAAGACGGGGATGATATTATGGTTGAAAAGCCATGAAGCATGGTTTTAATAAGAGGCCTCCAGCATCGTCACATCAATATTCGGATGAATGGCCTGTATAAGTGGATATTTCTGATGAAATATAGGCAGTTTTGGGCGAATTTAATGAGTTATATTGCCAGTTCAACCTAGCTGCATTCACCTCCGACCTATGTGCTCTCTGGAGTTCTTGTTGCACTGGTCTTAACCTCTAAGGTTAGCAATCTCGCTCTCTATGGCAGCCTTAGCCTTCACATCCGCGTCTCCGAAAGCCTTGAAAACATCCTTCAATTTCTTCAAAACTGCTGGATCCGCCTCAATTGCCTTCGACAGCGCTTCGCCATCATTCGCTAGCCAATCCGTCTCAGTGCTGGCGAACTTGCCGTCCCACGTGGGCCCAATCAAGGGGTCAATCTTCATATGCCCTTGGAGCCTGTCTCTTGTCTTGAAGTCCTTGTAGTACGGAGTTTGCCTCTTGGGAGGAGGATCTTTCAAGAAGGGGTATTTTGATAGTGCAGTATCGTCGCAGGTCGTGTTCTGAAGTTCCTCGAGGTGATGGGCGAGAATTGTGATGTGCTGGCAACCCAATTCGGCCGTGGCAATGATCTCACCAATGTTCGCGTTACTGTATTTTGTCAGACCGTATTTCCCAGGCAAAGCAAGACAAACTCTTTGGACACTTACCTCGCAATGACGATAAGGGGCTGGTCCTTTCCCGTTGCTTGGTACATCTTGGCGTAAGTCTCCAAAATATGGACTAAACGGGGAGCCATCGGGTGCTTCACAAGGGCGATTAGCATGCCATAAGAGTTATGCGCAGTCAAAGCTCACCGTCATTGCGGGATCATCTCCCTTATGCATCAAAGAGTCATCTTCGTAAGCGGCAACCTCTGCAAGGTGTCAGTCCGTGGTCAATTACTCCCATGGGTATGCTCACCATTGAGATACGGGCTCACGAAAAGACATCCTGCTTGGCTTGCCGCAATGGCCTGTGGAAGGCTAAACATCGAAGTTCCCAAAGTTCTGATTCCCTCCTCGGTCAGAATCTTGGCAGCAGCCAAGCCTGGGCCCGTCGATGCGATCTTGATCGCATATTGATCACGCGTGATACCATGATCTCTGAAGGCTCGGTCATACGCGTGGCATTGATCCAAGACTTGCTGCTTATCGTGAACGTGGCTGGGCGATACTTGTACAAGAACGCGGCCGGTGATGTTCTTGCGATTGTCTGCGCAGAACTGGACGGACTGAACGCCGAGTTAACCACGTTCGAAGACGTCCTTCACTTGTGTGCCAATGAAGCTTACAACGCGGTTGAACACTTCTTCCCACCCTTGAGATCCGTATTTCTTGACATTTTCCAAGAAGATGTCCCGGTATTCTGCCTGGAGCATGGTGTTGCAGCAAATGACCTGGTTCGATGTTTCTGGAATTGGTCAGCGCAAAAGTGCTTTGATCAACTTTGGGAGCTTTCGGAAACTCACGGTTGTGGGGTTTGAATGGCATTTTGGTAGAGACCTTCGGGTCGATCGCATCTACGTCAACATTGCAAACTCTCTCGAGAGCTTCTAGCAAGCTCGTGCGTTTCTCGTTGGCCATGTTGGTAACTGTTCACTGATTTGCTGCTCGTGCGAATGCAATAACAACTTAGAAACGAGATCAATAATTCAGCAAGGTACCTAAATTCCTCTCTAAAACATGGAAAAGCTGAATCAATAAGAATGCATCGTCATCTTCACATGAACCTGCCTCCACAGTAGGCGCCATCGCAATCCACTTCGCCGAAGTTTTGCCGCGGGAGCAATCCCGCTTCGTCCGCTTGCTCCGCCGTTCACTCAATCGAGTGCGGATGCGCATAGGTCCCACATCAACTTGCATCAAGCTCCATCGCTGTATGATGCTTGATGGAGTCAAGATAGCCTGAAGTTGTGTTCCGGTATAAGGAAACTGGAACTTGGGGAATGCATCGACGAGTGGTAGATGGTGCGGTTAGTGAATAACCAGAACCGAATTTGAAAGGCCCTCAAAACCTGTCACACGATGTCTACCTCAATCCCCACCAACAAAAGGACGGCTGTTCTCAACGATGGAAATCAAATTCCACTAATTGGCCTGGGGACGTACCTCTCAAAGCCAAATGAGGTTCGGGATGCTGTTCTAGCGGGGTAAGCATTCACTCTTGAATGGGTGCCACAGTCACTGAGACAGTATTCAAGATGGAGATGTGGCATGCGGCACTTTGACTGCGCTCAGTTCTATCAGGTAGGGTTTCAGAATTGCTCATCATCCGTGTCTCTTGCGTTAATCGGAATTCCAGAATGAAAAGGAAATCGGTTCCGCAATCGAGACTCTGAGGGAGGAGGAGCCGGCCTTCAAGAGGGAAGACCTCTTCATCACTAGCAAGGCTTGGAACTCGTCAGTACAAAAAGAGAGGTGGTAGTAAAGATAAGTCATCACGCTGACAGCCTTGGAGACATCATCGACCCGAGAATCTGAAGAAGGCCCTCGACCAGACTTTGAAAGACTTAGGCACTGACTACTTGGATCTTTACTTGGTAAGATGAACAGCCCAGTCACACGTCATAACGACAGGAGCTGATTGAATAGATTCACTGGCCAGTCAACTTCGCCGCGGTTTATGATGCCAAGTTCGATACTGGCGTAAAGCTGGAACCATCTGAGGGAGGCAACATGATGCTCGACAGGCAGCTGAGCTTGACGGTTACCTGGGAAGCTATGATCGAGGTTCAAAAGGCTGGCAAAGTAAATAGGTGATGTTCATCTTGATCTGGACGTGACTAAAGCATATGATGTTAACATTCAGCAACTTCAGCCCGGCGCACATTCAGAAGCTCATTGACGAGACTGGTGTAGTTCCAGCTGTCAATCAGGGTACGTCAACACTAATGTTCAACGTATCTGAGATGATTCATCTTTGCTAATGTAGAGCTCATTCATCTCAACTAGTTGAAGCTCATCCTCTTCTGATCCAACAGGAGTTGCTCGACTACTGCACGTTGAAGGGCATCCATATCACCGCTTACATGCCATTTGGCGGCGATGCAGCTCGAGGAGGTGCCAAAGTCCTCGGAAATCCCGCGGTGGACCAAATTGCTCGCAAGTTCCGTAAAGATGCAGGCCAAGTTTTGGGATCATGGGGAATCAAGGCGAGTATTTTTCTGCCTTCATGGACGTCTCTCTAACACGAGGTCAGCGAGGGTTTTCCGTACTACCAAAGTCTGTGAAGCCGTCCAGGATTGAATCCAACTTCCAGGTCTTCGACCTAGATGACGATAGGTAATATGGATTTGGAGTCTTTGAAGTATAGGATTAGGCTAATAATTGGCGCTCTTTGTGTCTACAGCTATGAAGCTCTCACTGAACTTGGCCGCAAAGACCCCGCTCGCTTTGGAGGTCTCCCCTTCACTTTCAATCCGGCTTGGAAGGTCAATGTGTTTAACACCCCTGGGGAACGCAATGCGGGACTTCACGAACCATTTTGAGTGCATAACCATTGTCAGCTCAGACGTGAATGGGATGATGTCTGTGCAAAGTCGGTTTCTGAAGTATCTAGTTAAAACCATCTACCAATATTTACAAGTTGACTCCTCAAATCTTTTCAGATTGTGCCCTCTGCCGCGTGTCGTGAGACAGTGCTTGTCCGTAGTGGAAGTCCTGGGAGTAACAGCCAAAGCAAGAAGCAGACCGCAAGGACAGAGAGTATAATGGGCTGTAGCACAGCCACTCCTTTGGCTTGAGCAATGGCTCCCACCATGAATGGAATGACCGAGGCACCGGAGGCTCCGATAGCTGAGCAAATTCCGATGGCAGACACCCGCATTCTCTGCGGCAGGAGACGAGACAGGCAAACGATGACTGCAGGGAACACGGGGCCAAGGAAGAATCCTGGCAAGAGACATCAGAAAAGTCCTTGGGTCTTGGCAAGAGAAGAATCATACCTAGAAATGCAACAATGATTGCCGAGGAGATGAAGTTGGGAATGAGCCAGTACAAGAGTTGCATGATGATAGCACAGACCAAATACACGGTCACGGCGTGCTTCTCAGACTTGAAAACACGTCCAGTGACAAAGCCAAGGATGATCCGACCGACAGTGATTCCCGCCCAGAAACCACTGGCAGTAAGTCCTGATGCAAAGGCTGAGCCGCCGCGCACATCGATCATGAACGTCACGAGCCAGCCGCCGAGAGCGACTTCGGACCCTACATAAGCCAGGAGGAAGGCGCTGCAAACTAGCACGACCCTGTTCTTGAGACAGTTCCAGGTGTTGCTAGTTTTGAAGCTGTTGGCGGCCTTGAACACTCTTGAAGAAGGGTTCCGCCTCATGGGTGGCCGGCCCGCATTTTCACCTAGCGGCATCGCCTGCAAGGGGACCACAATTGTTTCTTGCTGTCCCCGGAACTCGCCAATTTCTTCTCGGTATGCCTTTCCATTTTGGGGGTAGAAGAGGGAAAGGGTAAGAATGAACTCCGAGGCAGCCATCGCGACCAAGACGTAGTATACTTGGTACCAATGCCAGCCCTGGGAAAACAGTGCACTTGCGGTGACTGGAGTAATGGTCGCACCTAGTCCGTAAAAGCCATGCAATAGTCCCAGAAGCTCGTTTGACTTGTTGAAGCCCCCGACAAATGAGTTCCAGGCAGCGGTTTTAGCGCCCGATCCAAGACCGACGAGGATGTAGACGACAACGAGAACGGGGAATGGTGGGTGAAAGCAGCCGACGAGGTAGGCTGTAACATGACAAGTCCCCGCCATGATGATGACTCCGCGCTTGCCGTAGCGTAAATGGACGGCGTGGTTCGATACAGTGCTCATGATGAATCCCAACACAGGCGATAGGAAGATGAGCGATACTTGAAGGTAAGTGATGCCGTAGTATTCCTCAATCTGTTACGCGAGGTTAGATCGACAAAGCATGAAAGTATGAAGACATCGGAAAGATGATCTGTTCGGGCTGCTCTGCTAGACGAACCTGCGGAATGAGAACCTGGAATCGTCGCGAAATCAGTAGAGAACCTCGCAATGGGAGGGCCACACCGCACTAACACCGTAAGAACTGTCATTGCTGCCCAAAAGCAGGAAACACCAGAAAATCGCGCCTAGTTTGGCAATGTTAATGCGCGGGAAATCCCATCTTTCATGCGTAGCTTGCTGGTGTGCATCGTCGGACTCGGGTTCGGGGTTGGCTGGCTGGACTGCACGAGACCTTTGGCGTCGAAAAGGCCTGTTGTTTATAAGAAACGACGAGATCGGAGAGATGAGCTTCAGGGGCGACATGGTGAGGATGAGCAGTGCGCACTAAGATAAGTACCAGTACCTTAGACCGAGTCAACACCAAAAACACAGCTGAAGACTGAGAGTCACAACCCGGGGAGTACAGCTCTTATTTATCATTGGCAATCTATTGTCTCTGATAAGGGTTTCTTGAGAGGGTCCACTCATTGGCTTTCCCCTAGACGAAGCCATTTTGAATCACGCATCCGATACGTACTGTTGTTACCTTGCACAGTGTTCGGTTTCTCTTACTGACAGCATGATGCAGGCCGCGCACCGGCGCTGAAGAGCATCGGGCTCAGTGGGTTTGCTGCTATTCCCGCTACAACGCGTGGAAATATGGGGGTCAAGGCCTAACCGCTCAAGGATCCGGGCTGATCTGTGTGACGCCGACGCGGAGAGGGTGCGGGGAAGTTGGCTTCCAGGCTGTTTACCCCAGATTCGTGCTCTTTTCATGTTCAAGAGACAGCATCTCAACCCTCCAGGATGCGCAGATCACCTCACAGAGAGTACTGACATCAACATACTGGGTTGTAATGATACACTGAGACTCAAGCTCTTCCCAAGCTCGACATCAGCCACCGCGTAAGCATCACATCGGAATCTGCATCATGACGAGTCAAGGCCGGACAAGGCCGAACTACCCGCGGCGGCGGGCACCTGTTGCCTGTCACTTTTGTCGATACCGGTAAGTTCAGACCTCTGTTCAGCTTCCAATCTGGTCAGATCACTGACGCTTCTTACACAGCAAACGGAAATGTGATTCCCAACGCCCTGCGTGCGGTTTATGTGCCGTGTCTGGCGTTGACTGCGAGTATCCAGAGCCTTCGGAAGACACAAGGTACAGGCCATGCCCCTCGGCTATTCAAAGCCATTCTACTAAAGGATCTCACGCTGACGATGTGTTTTGCGGCTTGCTTCTAGGCAAAACACAACGCAAGGCTCGACAAATTTGCCGGTAGATGCTCTCTTGCGCCGTCTGGATCAGCTCGAGAATATGTTGAAACAGCAAAATGGACAGCGGCAAGAGTCTCAGCCGACACAAGACGGTGATGAACAGCCTACGTCTGAGCGACCAACACCGGGCTCTGCTCACCAAGACGAAGGATCTCCAAGTTCACATGGCTCGCCACCACAACAGACACCTCCACCTGATGACCTCACAGGCCAGTCTACGGATAGTCCAACTCCTAATCTCACCGAGTCGACTTTACCGACAACTGTCACAGATGGTGTAACAATCACGGCATCGGACACGGACCAAGGTAACCAACATGAAGCCCCAGGAGAGTTGATGAGCGACGTTTACGATGAGTCGATGCTCGACAACATCCAAGGCTTTGTATCATACCTGTCATCCCATGGTCCGGCCATGACAGCTTCGCATCCCATTGAAAAGACATGGGTCTCAGCCGAGCCACCATATCCAGTGATCGGCCATGGCCAGCGCTGCATCACCTGCGGTCGATCCGACAGCCGCTTATTAGATGACGCACCTATCACCATCCCAATAGGCCACCACACCTCCACCGGAAGCATGTTCGCTCTTGAACCCGTTCGTCGCCTGATTGGCGACTATCCAAGGGATTTCTTCTACCAGGTTGAGACATGTCGAACCAGCATCCCAGAACTCAGCTCTCGACATGACCTGTCCCTCCTGCTCGCATCCGTTGACTTCATTGGCGGTGCCACAGATGGTCTCGTTTCGAGCTACTTCACCAATATCAACTCTACGTTCCCGATATTGGACAAGACGTCTTTCACGGATCTCTTTCATCGGACTCTGAGAGGTGACCAGTGCGAAGATGTCGATGCAGCTGTCTGTCTGGTCGTGTTAGCCCTTGGGAAGCTGACCAGCACCGACTATGAGGATGTCAACTCCACAAACCACTCATACGGCCTTGAATATTTCATCCCTGCGTATCAGATACTGACAACGCAATGGGTGACGTCCTTTGGCACCGATCTTTCACTGCCGACAGGTCTGGTCCTCTCCGCTATCTACATGTCTTGTCTCGCTCGACCATTGCTTGCTTGGAAACTCGTATATATGGCGTCCAGTAAGCTGCAAATGATGGTGCCAAGTCGGAACCAGGGCAGCGTAGCTTTCTCAAACGCAGAGAATGAGACCGTCGGTCGCCTCTTCTGGGCATGTTTTCTACTGGAGTGGTAAGTCAGAAGCCTGCGCATACTGGGCCCTGCTAATAAGCATGATCAGTGACAACTTAGCTGAACTACACGTACCACCGAGCGGTATTGAAATCGGCATCGACCGTATGCAGTATCCCCGGCTAAGTAGCCCCGATGAAAGAGACGGACTCGTGTTCCTTGCTCTATGCTCGGTCCGGGGCCTTCTAAATCGCATCCATAACGCAGTGTACGCGTCAGGAAGCCAGGCCCCTCTCCAACCAGCAAGCACGCCAAGCTATACTGAGAACGACAACTCCACTGGGTCACCATCTTTATCAACAATCTGCTCACTTGAAAGAGTATTAAATGAGCTTACACGCCAGCTTGAGGTTTGGTATCACTCGTTACCTGACAGCATCAAGCCGGATCTGAGTCATAACGTGCCTACTGATGCACACGAGGCTTCACTGCGACTCCGATACTGGTCAGCCAGGCACATCATCTCACGTCCGTGTCTTGTATACATTCTGTCCGTCAGCACAGCTGATGAGATCCCTACCTACGTCTACAAATACGCCCAGACCTGTATTCAGAGTTGCCGCAACTACATTGAAACCGCTCTACAGGTCTTGACCAAACGCACCCCATACGTGTGGGCTATATGCCAAGCGTAAGTTCTGCCTTGCTGTTACTCATCGAAGAATGCCACGCTGACTAGAGTGACTCCGTCCAGGTGCTTAGCAACATCTTTCGTGTTAGCCACGTCATCGGACTCACCGATCTTGAAGCACCTGGTTCCTGACATTGAAGGGATCGTATCTCGACTCATAGTTGGCATGCAGCGCTGGGCGTCACCTGAGTCCAGTATAGAGTCTATCATTTGCATTCTACAGTCCATTCACCAGAAACAGCGACTAGCAAAGCTCAAACGCCGGCACCCGTCGACATCACTGGGTTGAAGCATCTGGTTATATCGGTTGAGGGAGACTGTTATTCTATGGGCTATTTCTGACATCTGGCTGGTCTAAGTAGAGAATCTCAGTCCTCCATTGGCGCAGACGACACTTCCAGTGCACCAAGACGAGTCCTGACCGCAAATCATACCAACAACGGCGGAAACCTCGGTCCAGTAAGCCGGGCGTCTCCCAGCCATCTTCTCATTGGCCAACTTCACCAACTCCGGCCGATCGACCCCATCACGAACAGCCGTCAAAGGAGCGGCCAGTTGAAACAGCTCCAACTGCTTCCAGAACTCCTCTCCCGCCGCCCAGTACATGTCGCCCTCGACGGGACCGGGGTTCACAGCGTTAACGGTAGCCCGCTCCACAAGTTCTCTCGCCCATGTCCTCGTCATGGCCTCCAACGCAGCCTTCGTTCCGCCGTACAGGGTGTGCGTCTTGAAGCCCATGCTTGAAGCAACGGAAGAGATGTTAACGATGCGGCCCGAGCGGTAGTGTGGCAGGTACGGCAGGACTGCCTGCGTGACCATGATGGGGGCCAAGACATTGACGGCGTAAATGCGGTGGAACTCGTCTGCTGGAACCTCGCCCAGGGCATAGTCACCGCCGACGCCAGCGTTGTTGATGAGGATATCGATGACCAGAGTGCCATCGGCTCGGGCGAAGTTGGCTTTGGCCGTCTCGACGATTCGCTTGCCTGCTTCCTCGGGCTGGATCAGGTCCGTTTGAAGAGGGACGATCTTGACGCCGTGCTTTGAAGAGAGCGAGGCGGTCAATTCTTGGGCGGCTTTGGTGGAGGAGTCGGACGTGTACACGCCCAGGATATTGGCGCCTTTGCCTGCAAGATGCTGTGTAATGGCAGATCCGATGCCTGAACATGTTAGCAGAAAGCCCTTTCCAGATGGAAAGTATGTTCACCTCGGAAGGCGCCGGTGACAACGGCGATTTTGCCTTCAAGAGGTCGAGCTGTGTTAGACGCCATCTCTGCTTTAGGAATGTGTGTCGAAGTTCTTCTTCGTCGAAGGATCTGGATTTGAAACAACAGGAATGACGAATCAGAGATACGGCAGGTGAATCTTGATGTAAAACAAGTACAAATGAGTAGGGTGATATCACCTTTGATGCGTTTTCTACTTTTCTAATACTCGGTCCATCTTGTAGCGAGTCGCGTCCATGCCGTTGCTTTAGCATGCGTTCAGGGCCAAATGATTGTCCCTGGCCCATACGGTCCGACATCCGCTTGCTCCGATACTTTCTGAAGACGAAAGAGCTGCTGGAACAACGCAAATCAGTCAGTCACGATGCTGGCGGACCTTTGCGGAAGAGCGGGAAGAGCACCGCCTTGCATGTGGGGGAGGGGGATCTGCAGGGACCTTTGCGTCACGCCGCATGTGCTACACATAGCGATGTAATAGCAACTTTGACCCTCTCTTTCGCTGCTAAAATTTTCGTTCTCACGAGGACTCTTGCACTTGTTTCACGAAATCAGCTCTCAATATCTGTATTGAAGATAATCATCGTTGAGGAGGCACCACGACGCAGCATCATGAGCAACACGGCAGACCCTTCGTTTCGTGAGGTGAAGGCGCGGCAGGGCGGCCCAACCACTCGGGCTGCCGATTTATTCCGTCTTGATGGTCGTACTATTATTAGTAGGTGGCACGTCGAATCTCTGAGGTTCCTAAATTAGTGAAGTTCAAAGAAAGGAACAGAAGTAGAAACTGACGCGATCCCAAATAGTAACTGGCGGCGCGGGCTATTTGGGCGTCGAGGTTGCCCAAGCAGTACTGGAGGCCGGAGGGAACCCCGTGTGCCTCGACATTGTCACCAGCCCTCCTAGCGAACCTTGGAGTAAGTTGACCATTCCTGGATGACCATTCCTCGACAGGATCTGTTCTCAAATTACCTTAGCGGGAGAGGGTTCAATAAGTGGAAGGCAAAGCTGACTTCCGACGTTCTCAGACCAGCTGGAAAAGCTCGCCACTAAGTTTGGCTTGCAATTATCGTACTATCACCTGGACGTGACGAACGAGAACAGCATCACAACTGTATTCAAACAGCTCGCACCGACACTCAAGTACCCCATACGAGGCCTGGTAGCCTGCGCCGGTGTCTCCGATAACGACCCCGCGCACGAGTTCTCTGTCGAGCGCTTCCGCCGCCTCATGGAAATCAACGTCACCGGCACATTCGCAGCAGCACAGGCTGTGGCTCTGGAGATGAAGAAGGCTAACGTGGACGGCAGCATGGTGTTGGTCGCAAGCATGAGCGGCACGAACGTTAATAAGGGAGTCGATACGGCTGCGTACAATTCTTCCAAGTCTGCAATCTTGCAACTTGCGCGGTCGCTGGCGGCCGAATGGGGCTCGCGAAAGGGCATGCCTCTCATCAGGGTCAACAGCCTGTCGCCGGGGTACATCAGAACCCCCGCCACCACTGAGGCGCTGCAGAAGCCAGGCATGGAGAATCAATGGACCGGAGACAACATGCTGTACCGCCTGAGCTCTGTGGACGAGTTTCGGGGCCCCGTGCTGTTCCTCTTGGGAGATGCGAGCAGCTTCATGACGGCGGCAGACCTACGGGTGGACGGCGGGCACTGCGCATGGTAGTTATAGGGGAATAAGGAATAGAGAAGAGAAGATGATTAGAATTTGCGTCGAGTGATTGACTTTCAAAAACCACTTTCTCAGGTATTACCTTCTCAATCTCGCAATACGGAGCCGCCTAACGTTTGGCAATGTCATGTTAGTTTCAATCATTCCAGTGAAATGTAGATGCGCCGCCGCTGGAGCACGTAGCAGAATCAATGGGATGTTATATTCTCGATCGGATGAAAAACTTCGACTTCTCCATATCTAGACCAAGATGAGATTCTCCTGGCAGGGAAGCCTATTTTCTCTAATGTCCTTCGCATTGAGCTCATCGGTGCCAGTCGCTGGCTCCCAAGCCTCCTTCTCATCCTTCACTATGCCCGCCTGAAGGTGCCTGACAGCGAGCCGCTTGTGGGACACCTCAGCGGGCGTGTCCACATACCAAAGCTCCGTCATCAACGCAGCAGCATCGCTCCATGGAGCTCTGTTCAACGCACAGTAATTTCCTTCCACCAAAACGATTCGAACCTCAATAGGAATGACAATATCGTCTGCAACAGGGTCCTTTGTCGCATGATCAAATGAAGGCGCTTTCGCTTCCACCGGAGGCTCGGCGACAAGCTGGCGCACCAAGGCCAGGAAGCCTTCAGCATCAAATGTGAAGGCGGCTCCGCGGCGATGGGCAGCGAAGACTGGATCTGGCATCGAGGCGAGATGAGCACGGGAATAGTGAAATCCGTCCATCGCTAGATCTACGGCTGTAGGCGCACTGTTTGCACTCGGACGAAGCTCGTTGATGCGAGCGGTGACCAACCGAGCCAGCGTGGTCTTTCCGGAGCCAGGCACGCCTGAAATCCCAACGACGATCCTGCGTGAGGCAGGCTGTGAATCTAGGGCAGCTTGTCGCATGTGTTAGCGGCAGTTCAACTGTATCTCGTCCGGGCACGACAGAAGCACCTACAGAGCAGCTTCTTTGAAAGTCGGTCTACCTCCATCTTGACATTTGGCTCAAGACTCATCATATCCTGCAAATCGACTTAAATTGAGATCGGATTCAATATAAGGTGGTAATCTCGGTTCTTAGTTGTAACTGTGAAGCAGATAATGGTTAAAGATTACCATCTTGATGCGTCGAAGGGCTTTATGCTTGCTTCACAGCAAGCGGGTGGCGGATGGCGGGATCAGCGCCAAATAGGGCTTAAACTTAGCTACCAGCGCGATGACCTTCAAACCACGAACAGGGCACAGGGAAGAATATTGAGGGACGCATAGATTTCAACGATTGATTGCAGCTATCCTAGTTACAAGAAAGGAACTCTGTTTTCCCCTATCGTCGCCTGTAATAACGTGACTAATATGGCTTCAATCCAGCTAATTTCAACATCATATCGTTCACCTCGGGCTTCTCTAGCGGCTCGTCCCTGTTGCGTGGATCAACCGTACCATCAGGAAGATGCGCGAGCTGAGGCCGAAGCCAAATGTTGTCGTGCGCCCAATGGGTCGTTGCGCCATAGACGTTGAACACTCGAGTTTTCTCCTCAAGAGCTTCTCTCTTAGCAAGTTTGGCGGGAGAGTAGGATGCGTATATTACGGTTCGGATCGTTTTGCTGTTCGCCGTGGGCTCAGCTCCCCAGTGCACCGTTCGCGAGTCCCACAAGATCAGGTCGCCAGGCTCTGCCTTGACTTTGCACGCCTTGAGCCCTTTGGCCTCAAACCACTTCATTTCTTGCTCACTGAAGCGGCGCCAATCAATTTCAGGCCAGGAGGATCGATCGGCCTGAGTGTCGAAGAACTCGGCGTTGTAAGCATTCGAGCCCGGTAGCACCATAAGCGAGCCATCCTCATCGCCAACATGGCTCAGGTTGATGATGCCCTGGATGCAGTGCAGCCCGCGTTTAAAGGGTGACTGGTCGACATGGGGCCATGGGGCCCGGGGCGGCTTGTCCTTACGCCCCGGAAGAGTGATGTTCAGCGAGTCGAAGGAGACGAGTAGCTCGTTCGTGTTCCAGACTTTGGAAAAGGCATCCACGACTCCGGGTTCCATGCGCGCATCCCACATGAATTTCTCGTGAACAACGCAATAGTTGTCAAAGGTGTTGAGCTTGCTCTGAACAGGCATGTTCTCGGCCAGCCAGGTGCTGGGGTCGTCTAAGTCCAGCGGCAGGCCGAATGAAGTAAGCCACTTCAGAGCCCGTTGCTGGTACTCAACCGCACGTTCGCGGGGGATAGCGCCCTTGACTACAGCATATCCCTTGGTGCGCAGATCATCTCGCCAGTCACCATAGGAGGCGTCGAGTCTATTAGCAAATGTCAATAACATTCCAGCAAATACTAGGTGCGTAGACACTTACTGTAGAAGAGAGCTCGCAGTAGTGGTCTGGGTCGCCATTGTTCGTGAGCAGGCGCTGAAGCGAAGACAGTTCGTAGCAGTTGCATAAGTTGGCTTAGCGAGTTTGGTGGTGCAGCTAAATCTGCTTGCGGGCTTCAAGATGCCTGGAGCCGAAGCAACGTTCGCTTTTATGCGTTGAATGCTTGCCATTTGGGTGAACAGCGATCTCCTCAGACTCATAGTGTTACTGGACTCGTTTACAAGCTCTGGTAGTGATGCTGCTGGGGCACTCACAGCCACTGAAATCCTATGGAACTGCCCTGAAATAGAGTACTCTGCCTCGTGTAATGCTTATCCCACCTACCACACCATGTAATGTCCATGTTGTCACTTGATTCCAAGCAATGAGATCCTTGGATTTGGAAACATACGATCCGGGGAGTAGCGCTTCAGCGGAAGCCAACGCCATTGGAAGGTCCTCCAGTCCGCATCCGAGTGGCTCTACTGTGCAATTGACGAAGAGTTGCTACTGTATTGTCTATCCCGCCTACATTGCGACGACGGCGGGATGCGGACGAAAAATGCCTCGCTCCCGCTACCCGCTCATCCGCCTTCCCGCCGACCCACATCTATGTGGATACCCCTGGCGCAACGATGTGCCGGCTAAGGAGGCGGGCGTTGGCTTCGGTCTAACACCAGTTTGCGGGAAAGCGCCCGCTGACTGCATCGAAATGGCGGGAACGGAAATGCTGTCTCTTGGACATCAGAAAGGCATCGGGATGCTGAAGTGGACTGGGCACGGTGGGTCGGAAGCTAGTTCCTTACATGTAGAGCAGCACCACGACATCGTATTGTTGTGAATAACCTCAACCTGACCTAGGTACGATTTTATTGAACCCCTTTTTAACATAGTCTTGAAAACATCGTACTTGCTTGGAATTACAAGATGACTTTGACCACCGAAGACACGAGAATCCCAACCGAGAACAATGCCTACGTTATGCTGGGGATCGACAAACTTGGTTTGGAGGGCCGGCCTATGCCTCCTTCGCCAGGAGAGTATGAGTGAGTAATAGACAGCTAAGGAAATGATTTGGAAGTTCGCAGTCCGAAGCAGTCTGAAACTAAACTCCCGACTTAGAGTGATAGTAGCACCAAAGAAGACGGGCATTTGGTAGGAGTAATTCCGTGGTATTGAAGGCGCAAACACTCACAATTATGGATCGACCAGTGGCTCAGATATGCACATATTTTTGGAGGGTCGTGTAAGTTTCTTGCGAAGTGGAAGCCCGGATAACGATGACCTTTTGCTCACTTTAAGTCGTCGATTCCAGGCAGGGGAGTCTTCGTTCTGTGACCCGTTGATTCTTGGCCATGAAGCAGCTGGTGTTGTTGCCCAAGGTGAGCACAGCCAAAAACGGCGGTGCAAGGTATCTATTGCGAAGATCAAATGCTGATATTACCAGTCGGATCGAAGGTCACGTCCCTCCAAATTGGTGATCGAGTTGCACTTGAGGTAAGCTTCTTCACGAGTCGTAGATCTGACAGCAACACTGGCTGACTTTGATACCAGCCTGGATTTTGCTGCCGCAGGTGCGAGTTCTGCAAAGGCGGTGAATGTAAGAAGAACTTTCTATCCCACTATGTCGAAAGCTTCCAACTAACTGCTTTGAAGATAGGCAATGCGGTGACTTCAAGTTTGCCGCGGCCGATGGTTTTGACGGAACATTGCAAGGCTTTTTCACCATCCCTGCCGATTTGTGAGTTTCGATCCAAACGATGTCTGCCTCTTACTGACACAGAGACCAGCTGCTACCGCCTGCCAGAGGTATGTAATCGATCAAAAGCAGCAAGGCAGTTGAGCTGACACGAAGCGCGCAAGTCTATGTCATTTGAGGAGGGTGCCCTGGTAAGAAGCTGTTCCTTCCGGTACTACATGTAACTGGATGTATCTGACCAACAGTCAGATCGAACCTCTCGCCGTCGCTGTCATGGCTGTCAGCAGTGTGGCAAAGATGAAGCACAACGCCAATATGGCAGTTTTTGGAGCTGGCCCCGTGGGTCTTCTGTGGGTTTATCTCTGCTCCAATCCCACAAACTCGATCTGATAGGGGTTAGAACCATGGCAGTTGCGAAAGCTTTAGGAGCTAGACGAATTGTGGCAGTCGATGTCAACGAACAGAGACTCGACTTCGCCAAAGGCTACTGCGCAACGGATGTTCACGCCGCCATCCCTAAGAACTCTGGTGAAGACAACATGTCTTACTCCAAACAACACGTGAGTCTGGGCTACTGAAGACTTGGCAACATGCCTTGTACTCGACTGACTTTGCCCAGGCACTCGAGATCATGAAGAAGTTTGGACTTGGCGAACGCGGAGAGGGCATTGATCTTGTTGTAGAATGCTCAGGCGCCGAGGTTTGTGTCCAAACGGGGATCTGGCTCGCCAAACGGCGTGGCATGTTCGTGCAGGTCGGCGCTGGTCCGGCAAACAACCTCATCCCAATGTCCATCCTTGTGAACAAGGAGATTACCGTGAAGGGAAGTTTGAGGGTACGTGCCATCCAAAGTTTCGCACAGATTCTTCTCGGTGGACGGACGCTGACTATTTCAAGTATGGGCCTGGTTGCTACCAGCTAGCTATCGATCTTGTGCGGCAAGGGCGAATCAACTTGAAGCCCCTCCTGACACATCGGTTAGACATCCACGTCCCCGCAGATGGTTTTCATAAACTAACGTGATTCTCACAGTTTCCCTTTCAAAGATGCCGCGAAGGCCTTCAAAGCAATGCAAAATGGAAAGGGGGATGATGGAAAAGTGACAATCAAAGTCATCAGTAAGTTTTCATGCGTACGATCCCTTTAGCCGATAATCATACTAACACTCATACAGCTGACGGGCCTCTGGCTTGAATTCATTCAGGAGACAAACTATTGAGGATGTCAATCGATGTGTTGGGGACTTTTGGATGTATGGAACATGTGCACCAAGGTTGTACATCTATCATGAAGTACTGTTCCTTCAAAATTGGAATCCATAGAAGATCTACTCCACATGCCCTACACACAGACTTGAAAGATTATTTTCACCGTCGCACGCTGGTTGAAATTAGAACCGAATGGCATAATGCATCTAGCCTTCCATCGAGAGAATCGACGACATGACTATGAGTACTAATGAAACACACATCAATGAAGTACTGCCGTCATATAAATTTCATATGAATACACAGGTCAAATCGTCTGCGTATTTTATGCTGGGAGGCTGGAGTAAACTGGAAAGATGACATCAGTTGGAAGGTGGGCTTCAACGAATGTCATTTAAATTCCACATCACAAGATCACCCACAATCATGTGGAAGAACGGGGAAACATCTCATCACACGATGCAATATGTGAAGAATAGTCTTAATTCAAGGTCTACGCGACTGAGCACCGGCTTTCTACACGATGACTTCGCTCTTCAATCGGCTTTCATGATGACTCTCAAACAAAACTGGCGGTCGATCTCCTGTATGAACATTAGATACCGACTAGTGTGATATTTTAGACGGGTACTCACGGTTGGTAAGGCTCTTCGAGAAACTTGATCTCCTCCTCACTCAGCTCGATCTCAAGTGCAGCAAGAGTCTTTTCGAATCGCTCAATCTTCGAGACGCCGACAATGGGAGCAGCCACGGCGTCCTTATGGAGAACCCAGGCTTAAAAGAGTATTAGTATCAACATTCAAGGGGAGGGGATGGCTTGGGCCGACATACCAAGACCGATCTGAGACATGTTGTATCCCCGATTCTCGGCCAGCTGCTCAACCCTTCGATTGACTTCTTTTTCCCACTCTGCGCCAAGCAAGCCTTCATCGTGATATGCATCCGAAGTCTGCAGTGAATGTCAGTAAGTCATTTTCTTATCAAAGGATAGGTCGTTCTCACTGAGCGGACAGTCTCATAGGCACGAGACAGAGGCCGCGCCAAGTCTGGTCATTTTCACTCGTGGTTAGCTCATGAACCTGAGGCACTGCGTTTAAATCTCAGAGGTTGGCAATACTTACGACCTCTTGCGAGAGGGCTCCATGGGGTCGAGCCGACGCCAAGATATTTCAACAGTGGCATCATCTCCCTTTCTTCCTCTCGGTACAGGAGATTGTAGAGGTTCTGACAGTTGACAAACGGAGTGAGGTTTTTATTCAGAGCGTAGTCTATGATCAGGGTCAAGTCAGATTCTATCCAGTCTAAAAACTGATCGCGAACGTACTCTGCATTGCATGGAATTGCCAAGCCCAACAGCTACTGATACCGATGTAGCGTACGTAGCCTGCTTTGACCACATCATGCAGGGCTGTCATGGTCTCTTCAATCTGCGAAACACTGTCAATACGTACAGGAGACACATAGGGTAACCGCGACAAAGACGTTACGTACCGTTGTTTCATAGTCAAATCGATGAAGCTGCAATGCCTTCATTAGCTGAGCGCTTCCCCTTATCCCCGGCAAGCTTACCTGCAGGACATCGATGTAATCTGTGTCCAGTCGCTTTAGTGCCAGCTTTACGTTATCAAAGATGTGCTGAAGTCATCTGATGTCAGTAAGGCGTAGGAGAATTCAAGAAATTTGGATCATACTTTTCGGTTGTTCCCAGACGTCATGGTCAAGCCTGCCGGGCCTTGCTTCTCGGAGTCTCCAACCGGGTGAAAAGACTAACAGATATTCTTTCAGTTGAAATGGCGGGAATTGAACTTGTAAAGCCTCCTTACCTTGGTCATCACCACAACAGACTCACGTGGAACGGTTTTGAGGAATTTCCCAAGAATCTCCTCGCTAATACCGTTACAGTAGAAGTTTGACGTATCGAATGTGTTGAAGCCCAGTTCCCAAGCTCTCTGTTAAAGGGTCAGATGAAATCCATCCTGAGAAGCTTTGATCTAGGAGACAGTGAATGTTTACCTTCAAGTGCTGCAGCGCCTCCTCTTCCTCGATGCGCCACGCAACATCTTTCTTGGTACCGTAGGTTGCCATGCCGAGAATGAGACGCGATACCTGGATCCCAACATCAGCCAATGATAACACAGCAACACCTCATGAGACGCGTAAGTACCTTCAGTCCACTCTTCCCCAATCGTACGTATGGCATTTTCGGGGCTGGCTTGGAGTGTCCGAACTCCGTCGGCACCGTCCGGCCTTGATACCCGCTGTTGATCATGATTGAGGATGTGGCAAAGTGTTGATTTGGAGATTTTTCTAACTAAGGTCCGGTCAAGACTTCACTTGGGTACGGGATCGCAGTCTTCTGTATCTCCATTATCGTGAGCTTGTCTCTTATACCGAAATTAAATATCTCCTTCAACAAGCCCCAGAATCTTCACATCACCGCGACACTTTCCCCCGCACTTCCAAACCAACAAGGCTGCAGGTGCTTCACCCTTTTCGGGGCGGCTGCTGCCAGCCAAACAAGGAATATACGATCAATGATCGCTGACATCATTGTGAGCCGTCTCAAAACAGTGGGAGGTTTGCGGAAGAGCGGGCTGGCATAGCGGGCTGGCATAGCGGGCTGGCATAGCGGGCTGGCATACTCTGTTTCAAGCGGAGACGTTTCCGCTTGGCCGCCTTTGACCCAGTGCAGTCTTCTGCATACCACTCGATCTAAAAATTCCTCTTTAGGACGCTTGCATGAGAAGTCTGATTATCGAAGCGCCAGCTTGTTGCGAGTTTCTCATAGCATTGATCAGATGTTCAGGAGCCAAGACGGTTCTTCAAAGGATGATCTTTTCCTAGTCGGAATTGGATTTCCAAAGTTGCATTGTCAAACATCGATGATGGTGTAGATCGATGTCTTCGTGCCGCAGCGGCGGGTAGGCGGGAACGCGGAGATGCGGATAGACCATGTTACGCATTATGGATATGGATTCTGGCAGTGCGATGACATCAAGCAAGTTCAGGAGGCAATCAAGGCACACTTAGCTGCCGAATTCCATGTGTCGACTCTCGCCAAAGCCAATGATGATTGGGTGTGTTGGATTCAGCAATGGCAGTCTTCAATAGCTAAGGATGGTGCTTCCTGTCCTTTCGTCCGATGCACCCCAGGTTTTCCCCAGGCCCACCAACGCGTTACCCCGGATTCTTGTAGTGTATTCATCTAGCTTGAATTTCCAGGGAAACAGTGAGAACGTAGTTAGCTCTAGTCTAATGTTGGTGAAAAGGAAATATACAAATGATGTTTACTGCCGTGACGCCAGGAGTCTGTTGAACCATTCATCTCGGCTGCTGAACCATCGAATAATCAAACACTGCCAAATTCCCTTTTCGATTCGCTTTCAAAGCATTGTCCATCGCGATGGCTGGCCTAGAGTCCCAAGTCCGAAACTATCGGTCCATACCGAACAACACGAATGTTTCCTGGTTTTTGGATCCATGTAATCTAGGACTTCCGTCCTTGTCTGCGATTCCCGTATGTCTGGCAACTAATTAGATTGATCAGGTCTTCGTGTCAACATGATTCATTGTTTGGGGTGTTGTTTTACATTGTTCTTTAATGGCTGTGAGTACCTTCTCCACACCAAAAACTCCTAGCTCTTGTCTTATGAACCTCCACTGCCATGACAGACGATGGAAGCTTATTGAACGGACTCCAAAGCATCGACCGTTGGCACAAATACTTCGACAACCCCAGCGCTACCACATTGGGCCTAATGAACTCGGCTGGATTTCTTCCAGGTATTGTGGCGGGCTTTTGTGGCGACAGACTGGCTCAAGCCTTTGGCAAACGGTTGACCCTCTGGATCGGAACCTGTATTACTGTGAGGCTTGGTTGACATCTATCGGCATGATTACCCTCGCTGACCCAGTACTATGCTAGATCGTTGGTATTATCCTCATGTCGGTATCTACTACCACCGGGATGTTATGTGGAGGGCGGACTATGATTGGCTTTGGAACCCCTCTAGCCGTCACAGTATCGCCCTCGCACCTTCAGGAAATTTCGCATCCTAGATATCGTGCTCAAGTGAGCTCATTCTGTAGGCTCTATCGTCTCTCGGGATCTTTCTGGCTCTACCGCTCACTTTGCTCTTCGTCTATTAGTCACTTGCACATACTACATCGCTGCTGTGCTATCAGCCGGGGTATGCCTAGGCTGTATGACTATTCCATCAGACATGTCCTGGCGCATTCCATGCTGGACACAGCTCGTAGGTCCGATATTGACTTTGGCCCTGACTAGCACAATGCCAGAGTCCCCAAGGGTGGATGCTCTCTCCCGATTTGATTATTTGAGGAAGTCACTGACCCTTCTCTTAGTGGTTGGTGAAGAAAGGTAGGCTTGCAAATGCCCGCACAATTCTCATCAAGTACCATGCGAACGGAAAGGAGGACGACGAGTTGGTGGAATATGAGTTCCGAGAAATTGTGGAAGCATTGAAGCTGGAGGATCTCAACAAACAAACCACATACCTTGACTTCTTCAGGACCCCAGGAAACCGGCATCGACTATTGGTCTTGATCGTGCTTGGTGCAAGTCTGAACTGGGTTGGCAACGGAATCATGTCCTACTACTTGAGCCCCATCCTTAACGGGATCGGTGTCACCAACACCCGCTCTCAACTTCTTATCCTCGTCGGCCTCAATATTTGGAACTGTTCGTCCTACGGCCATCCCTCTTACTCACACAGAAGGGTTGAAGCTGACCTTAGAGAAACAGTGATTTGGTCCACTTCTGCTGCTATCAACATCGACAGGACTGGCCGCCGACCTCTTTGGCTCACGGCCACCAGCGGTCAGCTAGTCACCATGGCTGTGACCATGGGGCTTTCGGCTGCGTACACAGAGTATGGTATTAAAGCCGCGGGAACAGCCGTCATACCCTTCTTGTTCCTCTTTTATGCGTCCTACGACATTGCTTACACACCCATGTCATATGGG